CTAATTAATTGTATGTAATTTTTTTTTAATCATTGTTGAAAAATTATTGATTCAAAAATTTCATCTAATGTAAATACTCTGATTTTTTAGTATTGGAAAATGAGATCTGAAGTCAATTTATTGCGAGATCGTAGCGCATTTATCACTAAATTATGTCTGGTGTATAATATTTTTCTTAATATTTTAATAAAATTAAAATATATTATGCTGATAAAAAGAAAAATATTATTTAAAAAAGAGGACTATTTAACATATAATAACCTGAAGATTAGAAAAGGTTATTTCGTTATCACATGACAAAGCTTTATTGCCATTTCCACGAAACTTCATGAATCACCAAAAATTCATTGTAATAAGCAAAAATATGAGTAAAAATATTGCTTTTGTGGCGTAACCTCTGGCTTGCTATTTGGATCTCCAGCCTCAAATTTCACATTGGAATTTATTGTACCATTGATTTGTCACTTTCACCAAACAAAAATGTATTTATATATGTAGTATAAATAGTTGGTCAAAGAAGAATTATAGACTAAAAATAAAATAATAAAAAATAAAAAAGAAGAAGACTATAAATAAACTGGTCCTATGAATTAATTCCCATTCCCTTAAGTTTTGGGTCAAAAAAGCATTGCTAAGAATGATACAAAAATTGTCAGCTAAGCACATTTATCCTTTGATGCTCTCTCTACTTTCTGATGGGAATTCAGTACGATATGTATATGCATGTGTGCTGTGTAGTTGTTGTTATGTTGATAGATAGAGCTGCAACTCCAATGCCTATTTCCAGAGGTCCCCCTACCCTTATCGTTTCAACCCTTCTCATTCAATTTTTATGGCTACTTTTTTTCATTTCAATTAATTAATCTAAAGTTCTATATATTTCAATTTGACTTATGATGATTGTTTTGTCCTAAGATATAAGTCTTTTTCAGCATTTTAATTATTAATAAATGATGTTTTTTTAATATTCAATTTATTTAAATTAGATATAATAATTATCTTGAGATGGATAGAGTAATATTTAGTCTTGTAATAATTAAATGACTTGATGATAATTTAATTTTGACTAGTTATATTAATTTTCAATTTATTAAATTTATTGAATAAACTAAGAAATTACATTATATATTAAAGTAAAAATATAATATCTTGAAGGATTTTAATTAATTATAATTATATACCATATAAGGTATATATTAAAAATGATAAGGATATAATATCTTAAAGGATCTTAATTTTATTGATTAAAAAAATAAAGGTAATCTCATTTTGATTGGTCATATTAATTTATATTAATTTTATTGATTAAAAAATAAGATTAACATTAATTTTATTAGTTATATTATAGATACATATTAAATATGGTAAGAGTATAATATGTTTAATTATTACTTTTAAGAATTCTTTAATTTGATTGGTTATAATTATTTCTTGCAAGTTACTTATTTTAAAAAAATAAATATAAATTATTATTTATCAAAAAATATATTATAAGATTTATTATTTGATTTTGAATTGGTCCATGATTAATTTATATGTTAATTTTATTGATTAAAAAATAAGATTATACATTAATTTATTAGTTATATTAAGATAAATATTAAATATTGGTAAGAAGTATATATTTTTAAATTATTATTCTTTTTTAAGAATTCTTTAATTGATTGGGTTATAATTATTTCTTGCCAAGTTACTTATTTTAAAAAAATAAATAATAAATTAATTATTTAATCAAAAAATATATTATAAGATTTATTATTTGATATAAAATAAAAAAATAAAACTCTATCTAAGTAAAAAAATATAATATAAAAATATATATTAAATATATAATATATACATATAAGTGATAGACGTATTAAGATTAGCAAAGACCATATAACACATTGGAAAAAAACTCTATAAAAATAAAAAAATAAAACTCACTAGAAAAAATATAATATAATATAATATAAAATTACATATAGTATAACGTATTAGATTAGCAAACCATATACACATTGGAAAAAAATCTAAAAAAAAAAAAGTAACCGTAAAGTTAATTTTATGCTCATAGGCTTTAGCAAAAAGTAAAAAGAAGAAAAATACGAAAATTATAAATAATGCTCTAAAACAATGATTAATATATTAATTATTATAATACTTATCTAATTATTACAATAATTATCTATCTATAATATATAATATCTATAGTATAAATTCAAAATATAATAATTTAAATCAAGTTAATCCTCGCTCTAAGAAAATTTATTATTTATTATTTTATTATTTCATAAAGTGTTATTTTATCTATTTTGAGAGTTTTTAGTAATATAAATTGTTGATAATATTAGAAAATATAAATAATAAAAAATTACATATATAAATTAAATTACATTTATTTAGTAACGGTTGAAAATCTACAGGTATAAACAATTACATTTATTTACCAACCGTCGGAGAACACTCGTAATATTAATAATCTATTACATAAAAGATTAGTTTGAACCCAAAATGAACATTGAGATGGTGTTTTGTTTTGATGCAACTATTTTGTCGGAATTGGATACGACTTGGACTGGGGCTGTGGATATTTTTGTAGTTGTGTTGGTTTTTTTTTTATATTTTTTAGAATTTTTTTTAGATTAAATACACAATTACCATCCGTCTTGTTTTTTTTCCCCCTCTAATGCTCCGTTTATTTCCATAAAATAATTCATGAAAAAATATTTTTTATAATTTTCCGTTATTTGAAAGTTTCAAAAAAATAAGTCAATGATAAATATTTTCTTAGTCAAAGGAAAATTAAGTCATTTTCAAAGAAAATTACTTTACATTTTCAAGAGTGTAAAATATTTTTCAAACTTATTATAACCTTATAAATCCATATTTTTTTAATTTATTAATCATTGGTAGCCACATTACCACTCACCATTCACCACCATCAGCCGCCACCACCACCAACACCAAGCACAATGACTTTCATAATTTTCTATTTTTTGCATTATTCTCACATTTACAATAAAATTTTTAAAATAAGATTTTAGTTAATTTTCAATATTGCAACTAAGCAATGAAAAATAAGTCATTTGAAAAATATTTTTTAAGAAAAACATTTTCTTTGGAAAATATTTACCAAAGATAAGTTATTTTCCGGAAACAAACAAAACCTAAATTTCAATATTTGGTGATAATTCGTTTCTCTTTATTTTGCCCTTTTTTTTTCAGTAAATATAAATTATTTAGACATATTAATTTGCATTTTAGACTAATACTGGTTTTATTTTTCATTATTTTTTCATTTTTTATCGGTTTTTATGGAATTAAATGCTTTCGAAGTCTTATATTTCTTAAATATACATTCTTTGCAAATGGGAGAGAAAAGAAAATAATTGAAAAAAATAACGAAGAATTGTCAATTTTTTTCATATAGTTATTGGTCCATCTTTGGGTTTGGATATAATAAATGAAGAAGATATAATACATTTATTTTTATTTTCTCGAAAAGGGTAAAATTTTAGAAGAAATAAAATGTTGTTATTTGCAATTGACTGTTATATCCTCATTCATTTTTTAAACAATAAAATATAATTCTTGGTTATTTTGATGTATTTGTTAATTTAATAAAAATGATTGAAATACATACTTTTCTCCGTTATTTTCTCTTCAAATTGGAGAGATTAAAATAAGCAGATGTAAGTGAAAAATAAGTGAATTATTACTCTTTTAATATCTTTTTTCCTTTTCTCAGACAAGAAAAAACTTATTTTCCTTTCTTAAAAGTAAAAACAAAGGGTTAAGGAGGAGTAAAAATTTTTGTTGCTTTGAACTTTTAGTTAACATTTCATTAATTGAGCTTGTTTAAAGATATGAAAGTTGTTTCTTAATTGGAAATAGCTAATAGACATAACACACATCTCATCTAATTGCCAATTTTAATGTTCTACATCATATTAATGGGAGTGAAGTGAATTTTTTATTTTGATATTTATGAGAATATTTATAGATTTTTATTTTTAAATTAAAATAATATAATGAAAGATTCCATAAAAATTTAGCATTTTCTGGTTGGTTCATCGATTGTCTTTAACAGATTTTGCTATTTAAGCTAACTATGAATTGATGTGTATAATACTTATCAACTTCAAGGTTTTGATAGAAAAAGATTGAAAAATGAAAGGAAATTCCCATGTCACGGTTGGTAAAGACAACATAAGCACGGATTTATTAGGAGATAGATTTAGATAAGGTCAAGGTAGTCATTTAACATTTATCGTTTTTTTGCTAATATTTTATGTCATTCTATATATTTGTACACTAACTAAATTACATTACAAAATTTCAAATTCTTTGATAAAATACTATTATGAGAAATTAATGTGTAAAAATAAAATAATTAAAATACTGAATAATAAAATCTATGTAATGGTTTATATGAGACAGTAGTGGACCAAATTGTTGAATCTTTTCCACTAATGTCAAGAGTGTTTATGATCGTGAAGAATTCAATATAGGGAATTTCTCAAATCAAATTCAATTATTAAGAAGATGGTTTTATATTAAGAAAATTAAAAGAACTCCAGTTAGAAAAAATGGCAATAAATTGTGCCTCCTTTGAGTTCAAAGTGCCTACTCAATTATATTATAAGTGATCCACATCAATTTCAATTTACTATAATGGGTATATAATTAATGTTGTATAATTATTTTAAGAAAAGTTAATGCCGTAAAATTTAGTTATTGAACTTTAAAAAATTCAACAACTATATGTTTTTTTTGAGTACTAATTTTTAAATCAAATAAAAATTAGAGTAAAAAAAATACTACAAAATCAAATAAATATCTATGTTGAATATAATTTTAATTATGCATGCAGTAAATAAATGGTAATTACACGGTAAATGCTAGTTCCCCATTGATCATCATAATCAATAGATATACTGTATCACAACTTACCCGATATTTTTATTTTACCATAATAACAAATTCTCCATTTCACGATATCTCATCACAACATCACTTCACTTTCCTTCTTCTTTTCTTCTTCTTCTTCTTCTTCTCCTCTTTCTTTCTCTCTCCACCCATCAATTCATTCTCGAAACACAACTCAGATTCAACCCCACCATTTTATTTACCGTTCTGCCACTGCTTCTTCTCTTTATTACCCCACCTGCTCTTCTCCTTACATCCTCCATTGCCATATATATACATATAATATATCATTTATATATTATATATAAATGACATACAACACACACAGCTTAAGCAAAGTAACACAATAACCCTTTGAGTACTCCCGAATATTTTCTTTGAAATAAGAGAATGAAAAAGCTCTCTTCTTTTTAGCATCAGAGTTCAGGTTTGTATACTTACAGTAAGCTAGTTTTTATTTTGTTTTGTTTTGCATATATTTTTGATTATTGGTTTGATTTGCAGGGAGTGTTCGCTGTTTGTTTGATGTGAAGTTTTTTTTTTGGCGAAGAATTATTGTTTTATTATTATTTTAATGGTGATGAAAATGAGGGTTAAGGAAATGCACCCGCTGTGTTGCATCTCGCTAGAGAGCCCCGGAATCGGGGACCAGTCACCGGAGGCGTCGTTGACTAGAGCGAGATCCTTACCGGCTGGGTTTTCCGGCGGATCTGATGGCAATGCGGGCAGGAATATAGCGGGATCGGAGGCCACCGTAGCTGGAGTACTATATAAGTGGACCAATTACGGAAAAGGGTGGAGATCACGATGGTTCTTACTTAAAAACGGCGTGCTTTCTTACTCAAAGATTCGGAGGCCGGAGAATCTGAATTTGTTAACAGCGAATGATGACGTCAGATTGATCGGAGAAATATCTACCAATCGGCTATCAAGGATGGACAGCGGAAGTTTTCGGCGGAAGCAGCAGAAAAGTGTTGGCATTGTTCATTTAAAGGTATATACTCCAACCAAGTAAGAGAAAATTAAAATTGAAGGTTGAAACTGGAAAATGGTGGTAGATAGAGAGGATTTAATGTGCGATCTGGACATGGAAGAGTTGGTTTTTGATGCATTTTTTGGCGGTATTGGGGAAAGTTTTGCCAATATGGGAAACATTTCGATTCAAAAATTGAACTTTCCAGTATTTACTAATTTGGTCAAATTGTTTACTTTCTGATTTGTGATATCTGTCAACAACAATGAGCAAGAAAGAGCATTGATATCTGAGCTAGAAAGAGTAAAATGGGTCGGTTATGAACCGCAGGTTTCTTGCATTGCTCAGTAGGGTCTGTTTTGTTCTGTGAGCGGCCAAAACGGAATTTTAATTTTCATTACACCACTATACTTTCTTCTCCTCTTTTTCTGAAGATGGTCTCAATTTCATCTTTGCCCTTTTTTTACAGTTTAACTGGTTGTTAATGTAGAGTGGGTCACATCAGCAGGTGGGTATTGTGTGTGTATGTGTGTGGGTTGGCTATGATAGGATACAGTGTAGGTCTAGGTATGCAGCTGTGGTCACATCATTGGTTTTGAGTGGATGGTCTCAGCTCTCTGAAATGATTCTTCATTTCTTGCTTTGATTTTTTTTTTCTTCACCCTATTTGTTTTTTACTCATCAGATTCACATCCCAACCAATCCAAATCCCTTTTTTCTTTTTTTTTTTTTATGAAAATAATCCAAAATTTTTTTACTTGTCAACTTCTGGGGTTTTTGTATCTCTTTCTACTGTATTTTTCGCACTTTTATTAGGTTTTGGTTGTTTCTTCTTTACTTTGTATTTTCTATTTTCTTTTGCTTTCATCAAACGTTGTTGTTTCCCTCAAGGCTTGAAATGGGTTTTCTTGTATTTGCCCACTTGGGTTGATTACTCTTTTCTTTTGACTTGGTTTAAGTTATGCTTAATTTTATTTTTATTTTAAGGTACAGTTTTCTTTGAGTCTACTATTGTGGGCTTTATTCTACTCTTTTATCTTTAGTGGAGAAATATACAGATATAGGAGATTGTGGGGACTCTGTGACTACTCACTAGTAGGTGGCGCTTCATTCATTACGCCACCATTGCTAAGCTAAGATAGAAAGGTTATTTCTTGGAGTATTTTAAGCATATTCTTTTTGTAATTTCTAGATCCGAATGCTGACTGTAATGTCATGCTCCTTCTGTCTGGGGTTTTAAAGCTGGAAACTCTGTATTCTCGTGGCCAAACACTAGTAGAAGTTGATTAGGAGCTTTAAACTTTACTGGTTGTGTTAAGCTAAAGAATTAGCTTTATTCTCGCTTAGGTTAGTTTCCTGGCGATCTGTGGATGCAGCGAATTGGAGTTTAATGGTTTCTCTTTTGGGTGTCCTAGTTATTTGATATGTGCGAGTCTGCTGTTTTTTCATTTACTAAAGATTTCAACTTTCTTTCTGTCACCTGTATACTCCGTATAAATCTACGTCAGCACATTATTTGTTATGAAAAATGCCAATCTTGCAAATATTAAGACTTGTTATATCTATTCTTGTAGCAGATCTCGTCATTCCGTGAAAGCAAGTCTGATGACAGGCGATTTTACATATTTACAGCTACAAAGACTCTTCATTTGAGAACTGATTCAAAAAGAGATAGGGTTGCTTGGATACAAGCTTTGGTCTCAACTAGGAGCCTCTTTCCATTAAGATCACTTAATGATAGTCTCTCCCTTGTACCAAAAGATTTGTCTGTTTCATCTGAAAGGCTTAGAAAACGATTACTCGAAGAAGGTATCAATGAGAACCTTGTCAAGGATTGTGAGCAGATCATGCTGTCGGAGTTCTCTGAAATACAAGGGCAACTTAAAGTACTTTGTGATGAACGGTCCAATTTGCTAGACACATTAAGGCAGTTAGAGGTAACATTGTAACTATTATGACTTAGACACCCAACTATATTTCTAATGATCTTCAGTGAATTTATTTTTCTTGCAACTGCTGTTCTAAGATGCTGCAGATTAATCATATTATCATTGCATTACCATTATAATTTTAAAAATTCTACTGAGTTCAATCTTTTTATTACATAATTTAAAAGTCGATGTGACAGTCACATATGAATTGTTTCACAATGAAACATTTTCATACATGTGGCCAGAAAGGAAACATTTCCTAATATTATTTTTCTTCATTCAAGCCGATTCATTTTAAGTCATAGGGTATCATTCTTTCACTTGCTTCTAAATTAATTTCTTTTATTGTATATACATTTTAAATATCCCCATCTAGTTGTCTCAAAAACATCATTGTTGTGCTTACTGATCTGTGTTACACAGGCAAAACTAGTTCTTTTGTTTTTGTCTTCAATCAGTTGGTTGTTGATTTTATGTGATGCCACTCTATGTTTTCTTGTCTTTCCATTCACTTAACATTTAGTGTGACACTAATATGAAGTTATTTCCTAAGAAGTTCAACAGTGAAATTGACCAAGTGTATTGGTTGATTTGTTTTCAATTTTATGTGGTTATACTAGGTTATTAATCAATGAAAATGCTCTTCTTGCAAAGATTGTGTAAATATTTGCTTGCTCTTGTTACTAAATTGTCATTTTCTGGTTAAAGTGATTTTGTGTACATTCAGAACTTTTTTTTGAATTATCATTTCCACTTGGTGAGGATTAAATAACATATTCAACCATTGATTAGTTTTGGAGTTTTCATGTCTTTGATCTTTATTAGTTGTTCGTTTTCATATTCCATTTCTTGTTCCCATTGCATACTATGTCGATCTCAAACAATTATTTTGGGGCTGTACTATGGCTTGTTCATTCAGGCTGAAGTCAGATGTCTTCTGCATCCACTCTCGACAATTTCATGCTTTTACTATTTATATTCCATTCTCTTTTCAAAATGCATTGAAATCCACAGGTTTCCTGGCTGAATTGTATTTTACATTTCTTTTTCCTTCCAATTTGCTTAGCCCCCGTTTAATGTATTAACATTTATTAACATTTAAACTCTTTCTGATACATAACCTGACCACATTCAAACTACATTCTTGAAATGGATTCGAGTTTCTTCAGGATATTCTTTTGGGTTATTGACTTGAATTTAAATTTGACTGTCTATGTAGACCTTATACATATCTATAATTCATGTTTCTCTTTACCTCTTGTGCAAAATAGATTTCCCCATGGTTCTCATGCATGACAATGCTTATGGATGATATGAATCAGTAATCACACGATAAAGAAATTAATTTATTGTTTGCAAGAATTTACTGCTGTGTTTTTCCGAACACTGGCAAACTTTGTGATTTGTTCTCTAGATTAAATGCCTCAGTATTTTGTGATGAGCTATTAGTGGCATATATGATTTATATCCTGGATTTGCAAGTCATATATTATCTTTGGCGAACGAGTTACGTAAAAGTTTGGCATGCTAATGATTGGTCTGTGACAGGTTTATGGACTCTTCAAATACATTGATTTACAGCTTATGTTTCTTGATCATATATGTTTTCAGCTTAAAATTTTTGTTTCATAATATCTTTTGCTCTAAATTCACTTGTAATATACGTGCTTCTGAAATAAACTTGAAAACATCACTGCACATCACCAATCTTTCTTTTTACTTGTGCAGGCAGCTAATATTGAAGCAGAAACATCTGGAATTACAGATGGTGAATTTCAATTGAAGCATGAATTTTCGAGTTTAGGGCGTGGAAAGTTTAGTGGTATGGGCATCATTACTTTGGTTTTTTTTTTATTTTTTTTATTTTGTTTGTTTATTTTGGATCCATCAATATTTCTTATTATCCTTTACTTGGAGAAAAATTCAAGTTTATTTTGAGTTAGCCGATTCAAATGTGGAAATGACCATCATCTGTTTTTTGGTTTTCTGTATGGATCCCTCTAGTTAACATTTCTTTAAGTTTTAATAATGTTATTGGATCACCTATCTTTCTTTTTGACCATAGTTTGTTAATATTGCTGTGATAATTTTCCCCCTTTTCTATTGCTACTTGTCCTGCACTCTTATTCCAGTTATCTTGTTTTGGGTTTCAGAATGTAGCACTACAGAATCATCTGATGATATTGAGAAACAAGAACTTGAGGAAGTGTCAGAAGAAGATGAGGCTTCATTTTATGATACAAAAGAGTATTTTACTGAACCTACTATTGTTCGTGGGTCAATAAAAGAAGTTTCTGGTCACCAAGAGAAACACAGGGAATGTAGTCAATTTGACAATGATGAGAAAATGCATACTGAGAAGCAACTTTATAATGCTAGATATCCACATATTCAAAGGCGAAAGAAGCTTCCCGATCCAGTTGAGAAGGAAAAAGGGGTTAGTCTTTGGTCTATGATCAAAGACAATGTCGGGAAGGATCTCACACGAGTTTGTCTTCCTGTTTACTTTAATGAACCAATATCATCTCTTCAGAAGTGCTTTGAGGACTTGGAGTATTCTTATCTTTTGGACCGTGCTTATGAGTATGGAAAAGAAGTAAGATTGCCATACACTTTTTGGTTTGTTGCATTTTGTGGGTATTGAAACATTGTGCCTTTATGGAACAGTATCTATCTTCATAGAGTTCCAAGTATTAAAAAAAAAAAAAGGAATATTTTACTTTTCTTTCTGTGTTTGATTTTTTCCCCTTTTATTTTATTTATTTTGTGTGTGTGTGTTTTTCCTCTCTACTTTCTCTTGTTATGGTTGATTATTTTAAGAGATATATGTGTGGGCAAATTCAGATGATAGGTAAGAGATAGTGAATGACTCATGGCACATGTATCTGTGAAGATTGGTTAATTCCATTCTGTTTTGAATTAAAAATATAACGTGGCTGATAGTTTTGATGAAAATTGGCATCAAACTAACAAGTATTTCAAATATTTGTATGTAATTAAAAAATTGTAAGGATTTTGGCTACTTACCTTATTTCATTTATTTTCTTGCTATTCACAAGGTGATGTTTCCTTCTGATGGTGCCCATTGTCTGTTCTTAGTGCAAGGAGAAGTGGATTACTATTGAGCCTGTACCGAATCACCATATGTACTTCGAATAAACAACTGATTTTCAAATTTGATTATTGAAAATTATTTTGATTTAGGTGATCATACCCTTATATCTTGTGCATTACGAATGAGCTAGCAGATAATTTGAAATTATGCTAATTGGAAACGAAACATGGGAACATAAATTGTCGAGGATGCAATTAAGTTCATGAATTTATTATTCCAATTCCTTATGCACTAAAGGTTCATTGGCATGTTTATAGAATACAATGTTTCATGAACAGGAAGTGTCATTTGATTGGTTCTGATTGTTTGTTCCTCTATGATTTTTAATTTGTACAGGGGAATAGTCTTATGAGGATCCTAAATGTTGCAGCATTTGCTGTTTCTGGATATGCATCCTCTGAAGGCCGGCACTGCAAACCCTTCAATCCTTTACTAGGAGAAACCTATGAAGCTGACTATCCTGATAAAGGGGTTCGCTTCTTCTCTGAGAAGGTCAGTAATGATCCTAGATTATGGTAGAATGATGCAGCCTTTACTTTGAAGTTAAGCTGGCAGTTTTGAAATTAAGCTGTGTGTTACATGCACTTTTTGTTGTTTAAACGATGATTGTAATATCTGCAGGTTTAGACAGATAAAGAAGGAATGGATTTTTTCCTCTACCAAAAAAAGAAAAAAAAAAAAAAAAACAAAAGGATTTTCCAAATCTTCCATCTGCTCAAATCCCTCGAAATAAGGGATTTAAACTCCCGCTTAGGAGGTGCAATTACATGAAACATCTCACGTTTGCGAGATGATAGATTTTCCCATCCTTTCTTTCACTTCCAAAATTACTCTTCAATTTCTAGGATTTTGATTAAGTGCCAAAACTGTATGTTCTCTAAATCCATGGACTTAAAATGTTGAAAATCATTGGCCATAAATCAGGGTGATGGAATATTTGGAAGCAAAGGGGTCTGCAGGACCTTTTCTCAAAGGAAGAATGAAATGCCACATATAACACATGTAATTTACTTACAAAGGAAAATCTTGAAGAATTTTTTTGAAATCTACAGAATAGTGAAAGAAACAACAATTAATTGCAAAAAGTTGGAAGTTTTCTTTGGTTACTTGTGATGAGTGAGAAAACTTGTTGCATTTGAAGGCATTGGTAATGAATTTGCTTATCTGCTTTTTTTAACAGGTTAGTCATCACCCAACTCTCATTGCCTGCCACTGTGAAGGTAGAGGGTGGAAGTTTTGGGGTGACAGCAACCTCCGTACAAAATTTTGGGGGCGGTCTATTCAACTTGACCCTGTTGGAGTTCTAACCCTGGAGTTTGATGATGGTGAAATATTCCAATGGAGCAAGGTATATATTGCTGCATAACTGTGCCTGTACATGACATGACTGCTCAACTTTTTCTACCTTTTACCTCCTTTTCTGTTTTGATGGTGCTTATCTGTTTTGATGGTGCTCATTATTAAAATGGGCTCTCTCGTTCATCAGGTGACAACTGCAATTTATAATCTTATTCTTGGTAAAGTGTATTGTGATCACCACGGAACGATGCATATACAAGGAAATCGACAATATTCATGCAAACTCAAGTTCAAAGAACAATCAATTCTTGACAGAAATCCACACCAGGTTAGTAATTCCACTTTGTTTGCCTGCAAACTAATCTGAAAAAGTGCTTTGTAGTGCCTTGGTTACTTTTAATATCTGTTAGGTTCACATGCAGTTTTTCACTCATTAGGGTACAGTATTCTCTGTCTATTGTGTGAGTTATTGTCTAATATATCATAATATTATTTATGCTTACATCTGCACAGGTTAATGGGTTTGTTGAAGATGTTTCGGGGAAAAAAGTTGCTCAATTGTTTGGGAAGTGGGATGATAGCATGTATTATACAAAAGGTGATGGGACTAGCAAGACAAAGGATAGCAATTCCTCACCTAATACTATGTTGCTTTGGAAAAGTACCAAAACACCTCCTAATATTACTCGGTACAACTTAACATCATTTGCGATCACTCTAAATGAATTAACACCAGGACTAAAGGTAGAGATGATGTATTATATCATTTTCCAGATATGCATTCTCATTTTCCTCCTATGCATCTCTAATCGGTTTTTATAGCCATGTCTGATCCCGGGTATTTGATCACGGATTAAGGAGAAGCTCCCACCCACGGATTCGAGGCTCAGACCGGACCAGAGGCATCTGGAGAATGGGGAATATGAGAAGGCAAATGCAGAGAAACAAAGGTTGGAGAAGCGGCAGAGAATGGTACACTTGACCCTTTTTTTTTTTCTCTGACATAAGCATACACAGAACATGACTGCATATCTGGTTGAATCATAATGTGGAGTGCACACAGAGCTAGATTATGGTTATATTAACAGATTTCAATATGAAGCTAAAGATAAGTTCTGCAAAAAGTGAAATGAGTAACATGTGACAGTCTAGAGTACTATTATGAAGTATTAACTTGTAGAATTTGTGATATATATATATATATATATATATATATATTAGAATTGTGATATATAATATATATATATGATATATATTTGTTATGTATATATATATATATATATATATTTGTTATGAGCATCATGCTTTCTCTCATTCCATGCAGTCAAGGAAATTACAAGAGCATGGATGGAAGCCAAGGTGGTTCCAGAGAGAAGGTGAAAATGGACCTTTCCGCTATGTGGGAGGGTATTGGGAAGCACGAGAGCAGGCAAATTGGGATGGCTGTCCAAATATTTTTGGTGAATTCAATGAAGAATTTGCAGAATCCTCTGAGGGATATTGATTTTGGTTTAGGTATCTTCTCTTCTGGAGAATATTTTATTTTTATAGAACCACAGTATTGGTTGACACTCCATTTTCATAATGAAATGTTAATCTAGTGCCTATATAGTGTATAGGAAATCAGAATAAATTATGATGTTTTTAACCGTTCTGTTAATCCTCATTTCATGCTACCTTGTAGAAAAAGTTGTCACAGAGTAATCTGTGCACATTGATTGGTCAGTTCTTCAAATTCCAGTCACTACTGGCAATAACCAGGTCTGAGGTGGCAAGTTTTCACCGGGAGAATATGGAGCGAAAAAACTTAATTTTCAGCTTACAGAGAATGCATAGAATAGAACCTATAGCATATTCCTAATTGCCTGCTATGGGAAGGGTTGTGTAATGTAGCATCTTGATTCGAGTTTAGTTTCTTGAAATGTACTTCTGCCATTTTGATATTTATTTGTATTTCTTTGTTAGAAATAAACAGGGAAAGGAAAAGGAATTGTATTATTATCATAATCCAAAAACTAGTTTATCCATACTCGTGTAAATTTGTGCTGATGTCAAAATTGCGCAAGTTCCATTGATTTGTATACTATCATACGTCATATATCAATACTCTTCTCTCTCTCTCTCTCTCTGTGTGTTAGAATTTTTTGGGAATGAATATGATGTCTGTACCCTAAGCAAGTGTATCAGTAGCTTAATGAAAGATAAATAAACAAGAAGCAGCATCTCTCCAATCTGCTTTTGTTCTTGCCTGGCCCTAGTCAATCTAAAAAGTTTTGCTTTTGATTACAAGTTCAATTTACATAAGAATTAGACTTTATTTAGAAATAAATTGCGTTTGGCATAACGTAATTTAAAATATCAAATTTCAATTAAATTTCATATAGTTCATAATTGAAATTCATTTATCCTAAGTTCATAAATTACCCTCAATGAAATTAAAAAATTGATAATTTTTACTCTATAAAAAAATCTTATAAGTTATAGCTATTAAATTGATAAAAATTAATAAATATAAACCAATTAACAATATATTAATAAATGCAAGATAAATTCTCGTACTTCAAGAAGTGAAGAAGAAAATGGAAGAAAATTTTTTTTAATATAAGCATTTTAGTTAAAAAGAATTGTTGTGAACTTATTTCAAATTCCTATCAAACTTAATAAATAGAAATTACTTTTAGCAATCAATTCTAAAGAATTGAATTCTGATAAAAAAAATTATAAAGACTTGGAATTGAATTCTACCAAATTTTGTTGGAACCAAACAAATTAGGAACATATTTAAAAATATAAGTTTAATTATGAAGCTGGGCTTCTTAAAATTAGTGGGACCTAAGGCCCTAACAAACAATAAAAGAACACTACATTCATATTATCCATTATTTTGTTATGGGGACTATTCATGGCCCATGCATTACAACATTTAAACTTCATGGACGTAATGGTAAATTCAATCTGAAGTAGAATTTTAGATTTTGTGTTGAAAAATCGGACTAATTGTTTTCTTTTTAAAACTATTCCGTATCCGAATAGGCACAATAAATTCGGATTTATGTCCCGTACAACGATAAAAAAAAGTAAGATGTTATGTTCCAAATTTTACAGTTCGAATTCAATATTTCTAACCAAGGGAGAAGACACCGTTGTCATCTCATCAAATTAAATTATCAAAACTATAAATATATCCATTACATTGGTGTTGGAATTGACAAGGCAAGAAAATGAGTCCACATGGGGATTTCTAGAAAATTCCTGAAAGTGATTTTCCTGTTGAGAAAGATGAGATTTTTTTCCTTTGAATAAATCAAATCCCATTGCATAGATAAGCAAGATAGATTGAATTATTGTTTAACTATTCTAAATTATTGGTGAATCCAAATTATTGAACAAGAAAGACAGAAAAGATCACGTGGCTATTTGTCCATTTGATTTGTTTAAGTCATAAATTGGCTGCTTCTGCTGGATATTTTCTTTTTTGTTGGAAATTATAGCCCAAGTGTTTAAGGAAAATTTCACATGGTTTTGGTCAGTTTTGAAACAACAACGACGAATATGGAATTCTGTGCTGTCATTTTTTGCTTCTGTCAGAAACATATGCAAGCTGCTTGTCATTGACATTATATCTTTCTGTACTAAAATTAACCAAATAGAATCATAAATCCAGTAAACTTCAAAAATATCACTGCAATTTGGCCTTGAAATATGGCTTTATATATTACCATTGACAAAATATTATACGGTGAATTTACTCTAAGTTGAATTTAATTTTGTATAAGAACGGATTTATCATTCAGTAAATTTTAAAATTGTATTAGAATAAATGTAATTGTTGTTGATATATTTGATTTATTTCGATATAATTTTAAAATTTAACAACTGAGTTCTTATATAAATTTAAACTTATAATAATTAATCCAAAATCGTAATTGTTACTCACTTTTGCATAATTTTTATTTTTTAAAAAATCCTATCTAATGTAACATTAATATGATATTCACAATAGAAAAATATTTTTGCTGGAAATCCTAGGACCAAAATAATTGTTTCCTAAAAAAAAAGAAAAGTATGTCTGCGAATGTATCTTCAATAATATTTCTTGTCACCATAAATCAGAACGTACTATTAAATTTCCCCCATTGATTGAATTTCGATCCTGCCCAAGTTTTTAAGGATGACAATGATTAGATTGGAAGACAGGTTGCCAATCTTTTGCCTTTGTTTTTAAAGAATCCTTTTTTTTTTTTTTTTTCATATACATGTTTCAAAGCACACCACGTTTCCTACATTGTACTACTCTGTCTCTTCTTCTTTCTTCCAACTTGGCATACGGTTGCCACTCATTTATTTAAGTGTCTAGAGCAAAGAAGTTTACAGGTGTTTGATCTAACTTGTAATAAGGAAAAGAAAAAAAGAAGTTAAGATCAATATAATTGTAATTATAATTGAAATGAGACTATTAGGATATACTTAAATGTCCTGAAAAATAAAAAATTATTGTAGATCTATTTTGTATTTTCAATCCCATAATTGATCCAACTCAAATTATTCTAGCCGGCTTAATTTAATCAATGTTGGTTAATGTTTTTTTATATTTTTATTTTATTAATATAGTCCAGGAAAAACTTCATGTAACTGGGAGCTAAATGAATTATTATAAGATAGTATATACACATCCTCTTCATTTTTTTTACTCACTCAAATTATTATTAATTCTTAAATTGAAAGATATAAAGATGGGGAAAGATATCAAATACCTATTTGAACACAAAGTTATACATACACTTAAAATACAGTATATTTTTGTATTATCAAAAAGTTATTCAACACATCTTCTTCAACTTTTGCTTCATTTTGATGCTTTTTGTTTGTACATACAAAGGTTATAGAGCAGAAACTTAAACGAATTAAGAGCAAGCTTATGCTTTGAAACATAAAATAGTGAGCTAAAAAAAAAAAGTGAAAAAAAGAAGATGATAAATCCTTGAATTAATGGAAAGCAGGCTCATCAAGCTCCTCCATTTCAATGCCAACCTCACCCAGCCTCTTGTCCTTGTACACATACCATTTAGAAGAAGCAAAAAATATCACAAAATTCAATGCACTCAAAATTGCCAATAGCCAATAGAAATCGTAAAGCCTCCCTTGGTTTAGATTATCAGCTAGCCATGGTTTATTTCTCGTCACCTTGTGCACTATTGTCACCAATATAGAACTAACGAAAAACCCTAATGAAAGTGTGCTTAAAAATAGCCCTGTGCTCATCGTCTTCATTCCTTTAGGACACTCTCTTAAAAAGAAATCAAGCTGCCCTATATATGTAACTGCTTCTCCTGCACCCACTAGCAGAAACTGAGGAATTAACCAAAATACACTTAATGGGATCTGAGCCGTTGCATCATTGCTCAAACCATTTGATCTTGCGGCTCTTAACCTTTTTAATTCAGTCAATGCAGCTGCTACCATTGCAATAATGGAAAACACTAGACCAACCCCTATACGTTGCAATGGAGTTAGCCCATTTTTTTTCTTGAAAATATTCTTGGCAATTGGAAGTATAATTCTGTCGTAAATCGGTACAGTTACGAGAATGCTAATAACGAAAAAGAAGGTCAGGGAGGCTGCTGGTATTTCGAAAGATTTTCCTATGTGACGGTCCATGGTAGTTGCTTGCGACACAGAAAATGTTGTCATTTGTGCATAGACCGTCCAAAACATAATGCAAGTAGCCCATATGGGTAACATTCTAACCACCATTTTTACTTCTTCAACATCTGTTAGGGTTGATAGATTCCACTTGTTTACCACTGTACTTTCTTGGTTTTTGATTGCTGCTCTGTCCAAGAAACTGTACAAACAAAGTAAAAATCATCACTAATTAATTAAAAAAATTTACCGACAAATTAATAACTCAGAATGTCTATATTATAGTTTGTTTTGTTGTTTGAATTTAGTTCACGTGTCAGGCCAACAAATGTAGACATAAGGTTTCAAAAATAGCTTGAGATTTCTATTATTAGACAGTGATACTTCTGAAATGCTATAAAAAAGACAGTAGTGGACAAAGAAATATGATGTGTTGTGTCCGTGATTTAGCTTATATTAGCAGCGGTAATAATGCTCAACAGACTATCAAAATCAATTAATTTGGAGACAGACTGGCTTTGGTGACTCGTGACCACTTCTTAATCGGTTACGAGTATTATTTTTGTGGGAACATTTGGTAAAGAATCTGTAAATGAAGAGATACTTAATTAATTAGGGAATCTATATATATAACTAAGGTCTTTACATTTATGGAATTTTAGGGTTTAAGTGATCAAGATTTGAAGCAAATTATAAGAATATGAGAGATGCATGCATATATATTATACTATATTATAAGGAACTGATTCCAAGAAAGTCAATTGGGCATTTGATATTTTCTGACATGTCATCCAAAATGAGAGTCATTTTGTCCTCTAATATCTAAACAGAGAACAAGATAAAAACTGACATATCACATTTCATGTAAACTTTGTTTTTTTGAGAGAATGGTTTTGGGTCTCCGCTTGCAAGTTGTAAGGGTTAGCACACAGACTCAGAATTCAAACCTCACCACACAGCAAAACTTATGGTCTTGGCTGTCAATTTGCATACAACCATTTTATATGACTGGACCAAAATTGTAACAATCATTTCCATAACTCTGCTCTCTGATTGGCTAGCATTGACAGGTTTCCATCTGTGATATGTCTACTTACGACAGCTCCGACCCAAATGGAAAGTTAATTTGAGCTGTTGTTGTCACCTACCCCCCCCAGTATTAGTCCATATACCATGCACATTCTGGTGAAAATGATATCATATTCTTGCGTGTTGTATTTCTATTTCTATTCTAGTTAGTTCAAAAATATTTCTAACTTAGCTTTCCTGTTTATTTTTCTTTACATTTTAATCCTATGAAAGAAGGGGTTGATTTCATTCAAGTAGTACCAATAGATAAAAGAGAGACTAACCGGAATTGCTTGCTGTGAGGAAGTTTTTGCTTCTTGCTCTTTTTTCCTTCTTCAATATCTTCTACATTGTGAAGAAATGAAGGATCTGAAGGTAACTCCAAGTTTCTTTTTTTCCAAGCACAGACAAAAACCGCAGCAATCTGCGTCAATGGGCTACCCACCAATTTCTTGAAACGGTATCGTCTCGTGCCGGATAGGAAAAGAATTAGTCCCAACACAATAGCACATCCACATATACCATACCCCCACTTTCTCCCTACATTATCTTGAACATAAACAAGGACTGTAACTGCACCGAGTGACCCGAGGTTTATTAAGAAAAAGAACCAGTGGAAAAAGCGATTCATTTTTTTTCTTTCATTTACGTCTGTCTCGTCGAATTGGTCGGAGGCAAAACCTGATACACTTGATTTTATACCGCCTGTGCCAAGAGCGTACATGTACAGGGCCAAATATAGTATTGTCAGTTGCTTGCCGCTTGCCGGAATGCAACCGGTGTTGTTTTCGCATTTCGGTGGCCTTAAGCTCGGAAGTGCGGTTGAGATAGTCAGGATTGTGATACCCTAATCAGTCAAAAATAAATAAATATTAAATAAAAGTGAACAAAAAGAAACAAATTAATATTGACAAAGCAAAAATAAAGTGCACTACCTAAAAAAGAAAATATAATCAGCGTGCACGAACAAACTTCACGTTCAGGTAAAGAAAAAAAAGGCAACAGTCGGTACTCTTGCATATGTATATGAATATTTTCACGTGGTTTATTTTTCATTTTCAAGATTTTTTTCTTTTTCATTTATTTTGATTTTAAATAGAGGTTGTTGGTAAGCGCAACTAGATTAGTTAATTACCATTGCTTGCACGGTTGCGAAGATGGCAATAGTGAGATACCTGTCCAGATAATAATCCCAGATTCAAGAAAAGTTAGAGAAACATAACAGGAACAAAAATATATATGCAATAGAAATGCAAGAAGATGGATCATATTGATCAAACCTTCCAAGAAAAGTATCGGCGACGAAGCCACCAAGCAAGCAAAGCATAAAAGTAGTTCCAAGGAAGTTGGTGGTTGTATTTGCAGCGGTAGCATTGCCCAAGTGCATAGTATCTGTCATATAAGTCACCAGATTAACCACAATACCAAGTGTAGTTAGCCTTTCAACAGCCTCTCCACCTGATCAGAAAATAGAAATCCGGTAAGAGAAAGATAGAAAAGTAGTAATACCGATAAGTTGATAAAAAAAATTTAGCCTTTTGACCTAGAATCATGGCGGCGCTAGTCCAGCCACCAGTTATGGAGCGCTCGGCAGGGCGGCCCTTGTAGTCCCAAGCATCTGGGAGGATTTTGCTGGAAAGATCATCGCTAGCCATAAAATTGGTCTGATAGGTACCTGTGAGAGAAGGGATGAGTAAGTGAAAGGAAATTTGAGGCACGGTGAATGTGCAAGGATGGTTGGGTTTATATAGTGGGAAGTCACGAATTTAATTATAAAGTTAAAAAATTGTAATTAAACAAATATATAATAAAATAATCTTGAATGAAGTAACACCTGTGGGCTGTGCTTAATTATTATTTAATTTAAAGATATACAATTATTTGTACCTATAAATAACTAAGGATAAACTGAAACCTTGGTTAGACAAAGTGGGTTAATTAAACAGTTGAGTCATGTTTCCCTCGAAAAAGATAAAAAAACAAAGGACAGCTCAGTCATATGTGTCTATCTGTGTGTTTTTTTTTTTTTTTTTTTTTTTTTTTTGGAGGATTTTGCTGGAGAAGATCATCGCTAGCCATAAAATTGGGTCTGATAAGGTAACCGATGTGAGAGAAGGGTATGAAGGAAGTTGGAAAAGGGAAATTTGAGGCAGCGTGAATGTGCAAGGATGGGTTGGGACTTTTATATTAGTACGGGAATGTCACGAAAATTTAATTATAAAGTTAAAAAAATTGTAAATTTAAAACACAAATGGACATAATAAAAATAAATCTTGAATGAAGTAACAACACCAATGTGGGGCTGATGCTTTAATTATTATTTAATTTTAAAGAGTATACAAATTATTCATGTACCTATAAATAAGACTAGGATAAACTGAAACGCTTGGTTAGAACAAAAGTGGATTTCAATTAAAAACAGTTGAGTCATGTTGTCGGCCTCGAAAAAAAAGATAAAAAAACAAAAGGAACAGCTGTCAAGTCATAGTGTTGTCATCATTCTGTGTGTTTTTTATTTTTTTTTTTTTTTTTTTTTTTTTTGTGAAAGAAGAGAAGAAAACAAATAATTAAATGAAATTAAGCATCACATGTCTTGGTTTTTTTTTTTTTTTTTTTTTTTTTTTTTTTTGAAAAGAGAGAAGAAAACAAAAATTAATGAATTAACATACACATGTCTTGTTTAATCGATTAATTCAATCGGTTAAAGTAGAAAGAACACAATTAACATTTAGCAATCCATTCCACCTGTTCTGCTCTATCATCTTCAATTTATTTTTTGATCCTTTCATTTACGTTGTAAATCACTAATATACTTTTTTTGCATATGAAAAATTTATATAATTTATTTTTCTATAATTGTTGATACTCTGGATTTTGAACGAGGACAGGAAACAGAAAATTTAAAATCAAAAATAAAATTTGCTAATTACTAAATTTGGTGGCTCATACAGGCCAAATCAGCCTTTGTAGATGATCATCATCGTCATCAAGCATGTCCTCATGTCTGAACTTCCATGGAAATTCCAATTATTTATTAACAAATATAATTAATTTAAATGTAAATCAACTTTTTGAAAAATAAATCGTTTTAAAATCAAATAAAATAATAATGTTGATAATATAAATGTAAGTATATTTAGATAATAAGATAAATCGATAAATTGATTGCCTTTAGTTAGGAAGTGCAACTTCTCCTATCTGAAAAAATAACTTTCCTTTTATAAGGGAAGTTATTGGATGGTCCACCCTTGTAGGTTCGACAAAATATGATAAAACTTGTTTACCAATTTGAACCGAGATGATTTGGTAAAACTGACTTGATAAAATGGTAAATAGTACAGTAAATTTTTTGATAAAATTTGATACTCCATAAATGGTTGGATAAAATATCCAAAAAAAATCAAAATTCTCACTTTACTCAAAATGGTGTTTAATTTTTTTTAAACAAAAGCAAACCCTAATATACAGTAAATCAATTAATTTGGTAAATGGTAAAACACCATCAATAAATCGGTAAATTTGTAATTCAATAAATATGTAAGTCCGTCAGCAGACAATCAATACTCATAGTAAATCAATAAATGCAAATTCGATAGTTAATCGAACCGATGAATATTGGCTCCTACTTCTTAAAAGATAAAATTGATAATGCAAATTAAATACACAAACAGTTTATACACTTCTCTAATCTAATTACCCCAACTAAACATCACCAATATTTTTGAATACAAAGTTCTAATGTCATTGTTAAATGTTAAAGTTTCTTAAGGCCTAAATTAGACTCGTACATGTCCAATTGCTTTCACATTAATTGACAACAAGAACTACTCATTTCTTTAGTGTACTTTCTCTTTGTTTACAAGTAATCGTCATAATCAGTGATGGAGTCGATAAAAATTTAGAGACGATCAAAGAAAATTTTCAAAGTTAGGACAGGCCAAATCAAAGAAGAAAGCTTTATAATACTATTTTGCAAAGTAATTTTTTTCTTTAAATGGAGATAATTGGCTATAAGCCCCTCCATCCCTCCCTCCGTCTCTGATGATGACAACTTTGTATTTGCTAAAATATCATTGACTTTCGAGAATCTTTTTTTTTTGGTGTTTATGGTTTAAAATCTTTCCGCTACCACCACCACTGAAATTTTTAGTGGCTTCAGTTAATATAATTATACAAGTGTAGTATAACCATACGCTAATGGCTGGAATTTACTGTGCATTTCATTTTTCAAATGGTAGGCCATTCTTGATTCTTCATCTCCCACCCTTCATTACATTATGCGTCCCTTTGGTTCAATTTTTGAGACTAATATTTAGCTTTTGTGCGTTTCAATTATTAATTAAGTGTTCAGATGAATTTGGCGGTCGATGAGATCAGAATTATTACTAACATACGGCCCTCCAACTCCAACTACATTTGCTAACACTTGAGTGTATTTTATTATATTTAAGCATTATATAGAGTCGCGCGGTTGGTTGGTCTTAACCTAATGAAGATGTTAATTTTAGTACAGAAAAGTCATGTATGAGTACGATAATATTGTTATCATTTGGCAACTAGTAATTAACTTCGCATGGCAACAAAACAATATAAACTATAACGACAATTCAAAATGTTGGTATTGTCTTGTATCTTTCTCCAACGTTCAACTCTCCTCGTGTAGAACATTTAATTGATGATCCATTAGCAGGGGTGGCCATCATTCAAAACCAATGGTTTTTGTTTAGTCCTTTAGGATTAAAAACTCAAGCTGGCTCAGAAGATTAAATATATTCGATTTTGATTTCAATTTCACCGCGATTTTAACTGATTGTGATTTTTTTTGTTCTTTTTTTCCTTAATTATATGTAATGTGAATCAAAATAGATAACTAATGTAGTAATAAAACATATGAAAAAACCATTTTTAACAATACCATATGAATCATAAGAGGTTAGAGTGCTACATTTAAAAAATTTAGTTAGAATATATATGATAAGAATTGGACAGTTAGAGAAAACAAAAAACATTGAAATTATTAAAATCGATTTTAATAGAATTTGTGAATGGCTTATACTAGCCCAAGAAATGGGTGGATGACGCACAACGTTAACACGTGACATCTTCTAGAGGTATAGGGTCCGGTTTCCCCATAATTAATATAATTAATTTTCCAAAAATATAAATAAATAAATAAATAAATAATGCATGATCGATCGTTGATTGAGGCTTAGCCCTTAGGTGTTGACAAACTTTTTTGGGGGAATAAAATTAATGATTCAATTCAATAAAAAAAAATGCAATTTCATCCAATAGAAAACTTGAGATTAGTCGGTCGTGTGGTATCCCCATCTTTTCATATAGCTAGGAGGCCTCCCTTTTATTCTATTTTGTTATTGAATTATTGCATTCTTGTCAATACCATTTGGAGTCAAAATCAATTATAAATTCATATTATATACAAAATTAATTTTTTAAAAAAATATAATAATTTGATTGATTATGAAGAAGATGGTATCAAAATGGATCAAGATTCAAGAATATTTTTTCCAAGTATGCTTTGAGGATATCCAAGAGCCACATAGCAAGATAAAAAAAAAAAAAATGCATAGACAAGTGGCTTAATTATAGCTCTTTAAAATGCAGAAAAAGGGAATATATAATACACTAATTGGTTCGTTGATTTCTACTAATAAAAGATACCTATAATAGAAGAGAGAGAGAGAGAGAGGAGAAACTTAGCCATTGAATCTCATCAGATATACGTTAATAAGAAATTAGGATAAATGGTGAGGTGGTCGGTCAACTCATTGTTAATCAAGAAAATTAGGGTTACCAAATATTTTTCCATTCTTGATTTTTTTTTTTTTTTTTTTTAGGGTTTACCAAATATTATTTTTCCATTCTTGAATTTTTTTTTTTTTTTTTGATAACATTATTGTGGTCTTTGAATTGATAAGCTATTATGATGGAGAATGGTCGGCCACAATTCTCTTATAAGTTATATATATATAATATATATATATTATATATATATATATATATATATTTTGAATGGTTATATATCAAAATATAAGTTTTGGCGAGTTAATTCTTATATTAAGATGAAAGTAATATGTCATCCTATCAAAACAATTGTGCTATTTCTAGTATAAAATATATATGTTTTCTACTTGTTACCCATTCGAATTGCCAAAGAACAACTATTAAGGATGGCCAATTGTGTACTCCAAGAGGAATTCCAGAGGATGTTTATATCTTGGGGAAGAAATCTATATATCTACTTATTATTGAGTAGAATGATATTTTATTAAGGTTCCAAATAAGTTTATAGTAAATTCCTTTCTGAAATGAATTTTAGGGTTCAGGTTCAAGCATGATCAAGTCGAATTGTATTGATTATTTATCAATGAACTAATATTAATTTAGTTAAATTTTTTTCCTTGTTTCCTTTAATTGGTTGGGAATTAAAATTTAAGTTATATATAATTAGACAAGTGATTAAGAATCAATGGCCCAGGCAGCCAATTTTATTTATTTATTTTGTAATAACTTGATCTTATCACAAGTCCAACCCTAATTGTAATATATAATGCATGTCTTTCTCTCATAGTGTAACAATTACCCTTAAAAATGTCAAATTCACACCATTTTGTAAATATTTTCAAAATCACACCGTTTAGGTAAATTGCCCATATCACCTCTCCTTTTACCATTTTTTTTTTAAAAAATTTAAAATATAGATTTAATAATTGTACCTTCAAAAAAGGTGTAGCGTATATTGTAGTCAAACAATGAATAAATACAAAGGATATACTAGAAACTTGGTAAGGAAAGTAAAGGTGAATATACCAGAAGCATGAATATGACAAAAAGATTCATGATTAGACTAATTAATTTCTACTTTCTAGGGAAAGTTGTATCTGGGGAAGATTCAGTTTAATTATTGCAGACAACTAATGAATCTTATATATGCACGATCCAAATGAGTCGGATTGTGTTTGTCAAACTTTAAAAATGTTTTTTAGTCATTCATTCAAAACAAGACAACCAACTTAACTTAATATAATATTAAACAAAACAAAGTGGGTTAGCAACGAAACAATTATGTAGTTTGATTTCTAATTTTTAAAACCAAATTAATTCCCTAATCAATGAATCTTAATTTTCATTTTCTCTAATCAGTCCAACAAGTGTAGCTTGCGCAATTTACTTGCTCTTCTTGCTAGTGGGTGTCCAAAACACAAGATTTTTGTGGGCTAAAGTGGAAATTAAAGCGTGAGATTGAAAAAGTTTAATTAAAAAATAGCCAACTATGATGGTCTGTCTTTTGTATTAGAAAAAAAAAAAAAGACAAAAGGAAAAGTGTAATCCAAAAAATTCTATCCTTTCCTCAGTTATGAATTGCCATCAATCTAATGTGCATAAATTAAATTTTATTAAAATAATAATGTACAGAAAAACTTTAATTTATTTAAAAATTAACCCAAGTTAATAGGCCATCCTCTTAAGTAAAAAAAAAAAAAAATCTGGTCACAGCATTTTTATAGCTCAAATTTGAGAATACGACCGAAGCTAATTACCCTAGAGTAGAACTAGCTCTTAATACTACCTTCATACTAAATCAAATAAATAAATAACTTGTAACAAAAAAAAAATATATATATATATATAGAAAGAAATATATGGTGACCCTTTTGCAAAAATTGAAAAAAGATATATATTTGTCTTTAATAAAAACGTCATGTCTTAAGTTCCCATATTCTTGGAAAAAAAAAAAGTGATTAATATCAAATCTTCATTTAAAAAACACAATTTACTATATTTGGTAATATATAAGAATCGAGTTTTCGCTTCACAAAATGAAGAAATAACCTTTAAGAATAATAAAAACAAGTTGTGGGTTGAAACTATATATCCTAATTAAACCCTAATAACAAATAACATAACGTCAATTTATTTCAGTTTCTTGAGGATAAAAAAAAAAAAAAAAAAACTTGAGGATAAAAAAAAAAAAAAAAAAAAAAAGAAATATGAAGCACATTCTCAAATCTTCACTTCACAACAATATATCTTAATCAAACCCTAACTATACCTCGAGTTTTAACTTCACATAAGATGACCTTTAATCATATTGAAAACCAGTTGGAAATTTAATATAGCAAAAACATTAATATCTTAGTTTGAAAAAAAAAAATAATATTGTGATTATTCCCATGCATGGTCCTTCCTTACTTCACAGCTATGAGTCACATTTTATTATGCAAATTGTTCAAACTCGAGTATTCACATCACAAAGGTGGCCTTTAAGGAATTCTGAAAGATGTATATTTAACTCATAGGAAAAAAGAATAATAATATTTATTCACTTCACAACAGGGAAAATCACTGTTGAACATAAATGTTGGAAAAGGAAATAAGAGCATGTGACAAAAGCTCAACTTGTCTCTTCTCTGCAGTTGATTATTATGTATGGTGAGACCACTTTGACAGCTGAATGACTGATCTTAGCTTTCCCCTTGCTTTTTGGAAGTGGTGCGGAATTTTCGATATTTTTGTTTATTACAAAAAATATTATATATACTATGGAACCTTTTCCAAAGAGGTGGGATCTGGTTTGAGTTGGTTTGGTGGAAAGTGATGAGAAACACTATTTCACTTGCGTTTTCCAAAAAAAAAAAAAAAAAAAAAAAAAAAAAAAAGAAAAAAAACACTATCACTTTATAATGGTATTTTAAATGGGCCTAGAAGACTGGGCTTCTGTTTTAAAAAAAAAAAAAAAAAAAAAAGAAAAAAAACACTATTCACTTTATAATGGTATTTATGGGCCTAGAAGACTGGGCTTCTGTTAATTTAATGGGCCATAAAATGTAGATCTTGTGGATTATTGGGCCTGCACTGTAGAGTAATGGCTGTAGCTGACTTAATCCACTTGCTAAATTGATTAATGTTTAATTATAACTATCTGCTATTATTAATATTGAATAGACATATTGTTATACATGTCTCGAGTAGAGAAATTGTTATAATTAATTTAAAAAAAGAATAATCGATCCCGCTAGATAAATTCTTATTCACCTAAAAATTTTTTGATGATGGATTCCACTAATTTAATTTTTAAATTTATATATTTTTTATTGAGTATAGTATATCTCTATTCGAGACATATTAACATATATATTATAGAATTTATGTTATTAGTATTTTGTGAACAGGAGCTTAAAAGGAAGAGAGGATGAGAAAGGTTTAACTACTGGCCCAACAACTAGTATCAATAATTTTGGTGTAATCTTTTGAGGGAATTTTAATCTCAAGATTAATTAATGACAAGTAATGCCAAACATAAAATACAAATCTAACAGTTGTTTTGGTTTTTCTGCCAACTCCGTGATTTCGTGTTTAAGAAAGATCAAACACAACACAAGAACATTGTAAATTGTAATCAATATTGAGAAGAGTGTCCTCTTGATCCGTTGATTTGCTGTTAGTTCACGGGTTGATTAAATCTGATGGTCGTTCTTGTGTTTGAAAGTGTTGTTGTTGTGAAGAATTTTGTTGTCGTTTTAACAGTATCATGATTTGCAACTTGCACTAAACATGTTCGATTATTAGCTTAAGAGAATCTCTTTATGAAGTCATACAGGAGCAGCACTAAACTCAATCTTGAAGCCTCATTCCACCTCGATTGAGTTGTGATTTTTTCCGACTTTGATTAGAAAATTACCTTAAATTGACTGTATATAAATTAAAATGCTAAAAATTTTATTAAACATTTTTTAAATATAAATTATTTTCAAAAAAAATTTAAATATAAATTATGTCCATATCCTTTTTATCCGTTCATATATTTTTATACACACATCGCAAATTTCATTATTAAAATATATTTTATCAGTTTAATATTTATTTATACTTGAACATATAAGTTACTGTTTAATCACTTAATACAATTAAATACACTGGTTACGATTTTTATTTTTAAAATATGTATTTGATAATTATCAAAGGACTAAATAGTAATTTAATTTTATTCATTAGGAATAATAATAATAATTTACTAGCAATTAATGAAAAAATAAAATGAAAGATTAAATAATATAATGGAAATAAAATAAAAAGATTATATAATTAAATTCTAAAAAGAGAGATCTAACTAATATATTTGAATATAAATGAAGGATTAAATAATAATTCACTAAAAAACAACAAAAGCAAAGGGCGTCCTTCGTTAAGCTTAGCCCAAAGACGATGTGGCGACAAATGGAGAAGAGGGCCTAGAGGCTCAGTTACGGATTGCACCCCCGCGGCTAAGATTTGATATGAGAGTTAGGTCCATCTACAAGTTTCGAGCTGAATTTATATAGCCCACCAGTTAGTTCTCCCCTATATTCCAATTGATAACCAATATTATTTTATCCATGATATTTTGTTCAAAGAATTTGACTAATCTGATAAATTTTGCAGGGAATGCATTTTGAAATGAAATATGAAAATATAGAGTCATAATTAAATTTATGTAAAAATATTTCATTTTATCGTGAAATATAATTATTATTAAAATATGAAAGTATGCGATCATAATTGAACCATTGTAAAATTTAAGGATTATAAAAATAATTAACTAAAGTTAATGGTTAAATTTATGCATTAGACCGAATTTGACTGTCATATCAAAAGAATAAGCCCCACGTTGAAAGAACCACATCACATGCAATGGTGGGTTGAACTTATCTTATATTTCAAATAGAATATTAAAAACACACATGAGACATGATATATTTTTGTTAAAATCATGGCAATTTTGAAAACATGCAAACCTATATACCTCACACATATGTACACTCTATAAACAAGGCATGTGTATACTATTGATTTTGATAAAGACTATGTCTTGTCTCTGTTTCATGTAGAAGTATATGTTCTATGAGATCTATAGGTAAAGCAATTATAAATAAAATGATTAGCTTGGAATTGCAATTGTACAATCATATAGTTTACATAAAGAAACGCAATAAAATTTCACTGTAAGAATTATTGAACACGCTTAGGGTTACATAACAAACATGAGTACAAGAAAAAGCCAAAACATAAATAAAACACAATAATTCCAAATTAAACAATACTGCCCACAAATTACAAATGCTTAATTAGGCTTAGGCGCAAATGAAGTCAGAGGGAAGTTGCTTCCCGCAAGTGTTAATAAGCAAGCTCAAAGAAATGGGAATGTTAATGTTAATCCCAAGAATGTTAGCTTTAATTGCAGTGCAAAGGCAAACAGCTGCTTCGAGATCAACAAGCCCTTGAAGTACAGAGCAGCAAGGGTGGTCTGGGGGGTTCCCAACAACTCCACCAACTGCACCATTAAGCAACTTAGCACAAACTCCCAATTTTAAGGCATCTCTTGGGCAGCTTTTCTTTGCAGGTGTAGGGTTTGGGAATGGCTTGGGTTGAACACAAGTGTTGCATCCACTCACTAAGGCAAAGAATATCAGGTTGATAAAGAGAAAAAATGCAGTTGATAATGAATTCTTGCTATCCATTTCTCTCTCTCTCTCTTTCTCTCTCACACACACAAACACTCTTTACTATATCAAGTAAATAAGTTGCTCTTTGGCTAAGAAATGCGCATGGGAATTTATAGGGTAAAATGAAATGTTTTGACAGTTACAGCTAGCTACAGGCTCAACCCAACAAAAAGTAGGTCTTTTCATATTGGTTGATTGATACCCAATGAAAGAAAGATTATATTAGCTTTATTAAATTCTATGTATATATGAATATATTACGAAGAGTTGCTTCTCTTTTCAAACATACTGTTTAAATTGAATGCGTTGAAAGTTTTAACTGAAAGTACATATATTATATATCTAGCTTCAATCTAAGTTAAGTTTTACCATCGAAATGCTAATAGTATGACAAATAATAATGTGAATAAAAAATTAGTACTATAAGGACTTAGGAGATCTTTCATGTGAAGCAAGGCTGGCAATGAAAGGATTCTACACCACTTATAGGGAGGGTTTTTGTCATATTTGTAGTTGCTACTGTTGTTTTTTGGTTGTTTGAATCTCAAGATTTGACGAACTAATTGGCACTCCCGTGAACACCTTTTGGAACGGTTTTTGCGATTCTATGGGCGCTAATGGTTACTACTAGATAGTAACTAGGAAGTTTTTTTTTTTTTTTTGCCAACATCCTTTCTTTTTCCCCATCTCGTTTGTCCATTAGTTGGAAATATTTCCATGGAAAACCACTTTTGTTGCTTGTTTTTCTATCATACGAGACATCGTGTCTATGTCCGGTGAATGAGATGATCGTGCACTGAACTTCCTTTAGAAAGAAGTTTTAAAATATTATTATTATTTTTATTTTTTTAGTGAACAGTCATAAATATATTTATTTAAACAAAAAAATTTATTTTTGCCTGATTTTAATGTATATCTATACACGGGATATAAATAAATCATTCCTTCCTGGACTTGTTTGTTATTTGCTATTACCTATCCATCTTCATTTTCATTTATATCATTTATTTTCTCTCTTTTGTTTATTATTTAGGTTCTTATTCAGTATAAAACCATATAGTCATAACCACACATGAAAATTATTTCAATATTATTGAAAAAAAAAAACATAAATAGAACTGAAATAAAAAATATATATATATATACTTCAGTTTGATTTGATTTGATTTTTAATTTTAACCAAATAATTTGGTGAATGGGCTCCAGAAGTCCAAAATTTTCTGGAAGTAAAGTGAAACCAATCCACAATCTTTTAGACTAGATGGACTTACAGGTTTGGTTGATAGCCCAATTCATATCCCGCATATTTCAGTTCACATGTTCATTTACTTAAGAACCCACGTCGTTCTATCTTCTCCAAAGCACAGATCCTTTTTATTGGGGTCGTTTAACTAAGGGGACTAGTCGTTCAGTCGTTTTTACAGGAGATGGTCACTTGACTTGGGCTGAGGCATGATAATGCCAGGAGGGGGCCGTGATCCCAATTGTTGCGTGTCGTATATATAGGATTTCAAAGTTGATACAAGCCGTAATAATTGATCAGTTTACTTATCAAGGGTTGATTTAGGTCGGCACTTCCAGAAGAAAAAGAAAGTCATAACTCATAAGTCTTTTACATTTCTTTTTCAAAATTGTAATCTTTCTTACCATTAATCAAATGATTACAACTATATAAATTCAACCACGTTTTAGTGTGATCCTTAAACAGTAAACATTTTAATTTATAAAATTATGTTTCATATTGTAAATTATGACTGCAGCAATTTGTAAAATTATAGATCGATCAGACACATATTAATTATATATCAAATTAATATTTTATATATAAAAATTAAATTTATAACTTTAGAAATATAAAAGATCCTCAAAAAAAATTGAGATATCGCAAAAGAAATATATGAATAATTTTATATATTTGACTATTTAGAAATTGATTATATTAGCATAGGTGCTTTAGGATTCAAACTTTGCAACTTGTTTAGCGGCTGAAAAACAGGTGTAGTGAACGAAAAAGATATTTTTGGAAAGAAAATTTCCTATTATTAGAAAAATTGAATAAATTAATTCACGAAATCTATTTCTAGATTTTCCTTAGATCAAGGAGAAAAGGAAGTAGGATAATAACAGCTATTCGATTTGCACCAAGTCACCAAAACAGTCTTAATTTTAGATTCAAGAATTTTTTATTTTGCTTATCCTCAAAGAAAGAAAAAAAAAAAAGAAATTATTATTTTGCTTAAATTATTAATTTTTTAGTCAGTACGCGCCAATCAAGGTCTGAATTCACAATGTTGTAGTTTTGCAGAAAATTCCTATATGAAGTTATTTTAAGGTCCTATTTTTGAATTAGTAAAGAAAATTCCAATAATTAAATTTTGAATGGAATTAGAAACAAATCTATTAAAAGAAAAAGAAAATACTACAAAATTTGCTTGAATTTTGGCAACAACTGAATTAATTTCTTAAAGTTGGCGAATTGGACGGTATAAATTATTAGTGGTTGGGTGAAGAATGGTCCATTTCAGTTGGAAGAATGTTTAGATAAAGTGAACAAAAGAGATAATTAGGTGTAAGAAAGAAATTATGAGCCCACATTTTTACTGGGAAACAGAGGAATCCATTTGGCCCCATTTGTCTGCTGGCCGCTGCTAAACCCCTTTGCTTGTTTCGGTGTGCCCATTTCTTCATTTCAGTAATCAGATCAATCATGTACCCAACCTTTGCTTACTATCAACTCAAATGTATTTCTTATTACTTATATCCTTTACCTTTAATAATTGGATTTTTTATTAATGAAGATGAGCAACACCGGTTAAATTATGAGAAAGTCATGATGAAATATTTGACAGAAGAGAATGAAGAAGGTGAACGCCAAAATTGAAAGGTAAAGCATATTTAGGAAAGCAACACCGGTTAAATCATGAGAAAATCATGATAAAATATTTGACGGAAGAGAATGAAGAAGGTGAATACCAAAATTAAGAAGAAAAGCATATTTAGAAAATTAATCCACACAACGATTAGCTTCACGCAATATACACGGTGAACTTGAAAAAGCAAATTACTATCTTTTCGATTGTACAGACTTTCCTGGGCCAGGAGTAAAAAATATTCTATCTTGCTGTTAGTAGTTTATGCAAAATGATATGTACGTTGTGTCTGTTTGTTTCTACCGCGTCGTTAAGCCAGCCCCCGGCCTACCTGGCTACCAGCAACATAAATATATAAATATATATATATATGTCAGACATAACATCAAATCCAAAATACTATATTGATAGACAAAGAGTTCAAACATTTTCCCATGTTTTCACTTACACGCGTTGTCAAAAATTACACATGTTGAAGCATTTTTTTCCAATTTCCAAAGAAATTGGCTTCCAAATTTTACTGTCTTTATGCTACTACTTGATTTAGGACATGAGTGAAACTCTTAATTCATTAATTTGACAAAACATTAAGTTGAATCTTTAAATGAAAAAGTAGTTAATTATGGATTTTGAATGTCTAACACACACGTTTTTAGTAAAAAAGAAAAAAAGAAAATCAATATCATGATATTGGTTATTGATTGAATTGTTGAATTGAGAGATCAACTTTGTGCATTGGATCTCATGATTTGATGTTGACTTAATTAAGCAATGGTTAATTGCAAGTAGAAGAAAAGATGGCTCCACAAGGTGTGAATATAAGGAAGTTTAACAAATCATGACAAAGATCTAAGTTTTTTTTTAAATGTTATTTTGCTCTCAATGCATAATCTAATTTCAATTCAGAGTGGAGCCCATGGTAGGTTCTAGGTTAGCCCGTGACATTTCCATCCAAACAAAGCAAGCCACTCCTACCAAAATGAATAGGCCAGGATTGCATATCTAGTCAGCACCCTTAAAAAGGGCTTAATATATACTTATATCCTTAACTTTAGAATTTATTACATTTACACTCTAATTTGAAATTTCATACCATAACAATTCCTATGTTATTTGGTTCAATTACCATTATTATCAAAATGCATTCGGTTACTGAATTAATTTAATTCGATCTGATTCAGTTAAAATTAATGTTCATTTTTATCTGGACGGACATCTTAGAATACTTACCTGCAACCTAGTGTAGGAGCTCACATATATACTAAGAGAATCCTAAATGGTAAAATTTTTTGATATAATACTTTATTATTAGTTTAGTGTATGGATGGGTGAATATAGGTAACTCTTATCCATTTTATTGATATAGGTTTTTCCTTGCTTAAATAAGAAATTAAGACTTAACCTGTAGAATTGCTTTTAACACTGAAATCACAGCCATTTCAAGGGAAAAAAGACACCAAGACATGGAAAAGATTACTAGGCAAAACGCAACTCATCCATGGGTAGCTATCAAAGTAAAGATAAGAAAAGATAAGGCGTAAGTATTGATTAAACTTTATAGAGCGGAAAAGAACCAGTCGACAAAAAAGAAAAAACCTTGAAGGGTCACAATCTGGAGACAATTTAAAAACATTTAAGCCTTTTCTCTTTGGTAATTATCTATGTTTTCAATTTGGAAGGAACCGTAACACATAACAAATTGATATTAATAAACGAAGAGATTTAATTAGACTTGTGTTTTCACAAATCATCCAAGTAATAATGTAAAGACTAGACCTAATTGGTTCATTAAATCAGTAATTTCGGTTAAATGAATTAGTGGTTTTGAATCGATGAGGTTTCCGACCAGGCCAACCATCCTCTCAGTTCTGAGCCAACCACTTTTGGTCTTGGTTTCGGTTTGTACGGTTCCAGTGAAGTTCACTTCCCATCAAATTGTTAAATCTCTTTTCAAGCTTTTTTCTTTCCTCGTCAGGAATTCGCTGGAACAAATAATTTTATGCTGATTCGACTGACACGCTTGCTAAGTAGGAATCTGTAATCAAGTTCGGTCTTATAGTTCTGATTTGATTTGAAATTGATACTCTCAACTCTCAGTAGATTCTAGTCCTAGACCGATTTGGATTCAATTATAGTCCAAACTAGCTTTGCCAAAATTGTTTGAGCATGAATAAAATTTTTTTGGAAAATTTAATTGGTTGGTGATAAAAAAAATTAAAAGAGATAGCCGATACTTGAACACTAATTACAATGATTACTGGAAATTGCATGTTAATCTTGACAAGGCCAGTGGCACCTATACAGTAAAAGCCAAAATTTTGCAAGCTAGGCAGACCAAAATGACTGATCTTGCTATCCAGGGGAAAGGAATATAGCCCACCTCAAAAAAATCCAAAAATGTTTTCAAGAAACAATACCTGTACTGCCAGCTAAAATCCCAAATAGTGTACACATGGGGTGCATGACTTTATTCTACAATTTTCGCTGATAATTACTTCATTTTAACATCTCCAAGACCCCTATATAAACCCACCCCCTCACTCCATATGTTTCCACCCCATCACAATACACTCTCTCTTATACCTAAATTTAAAGTTAGAGTTTTCAGAAATATGGCTACGAAGAACACATCAACAGTTGCTCTCTTTCTTGTATTTAACCTTTTGTTCTTTACCCTAGCCAACGCATGTGGTGGGGGCTGCCCTACTCCTAGGCCACCAAGACCAAAGCCAACTCCAAAGCCAACACCAACTCCGTCACCTTCAGGCGGAAAATGTCCTAGAGATGCACTTAAACTAGGCGTATGTGCTAAGGTGCTCGGTTCATTGCTTAATATCACCATTGGCGATCCTCCTGTCAAACCTTGCTGCTCTCTTCTAGAGGGTCTTGTTGATCTTGAAGCTGCTGTTTGCCTTTGCACTGCCATTAAAGCTAATATTTTGGGTATCAACCTCAATGTTCCACTTTCTTTGAGTTTGCTTCTAAATGTTTGTAGCAAAAAGGTTCCTTCTGATTTCCAATGCGCCTAAACATATATAGACATTTAACTATATATCTATATATGGGTTTTGAGTTTTACGTGTTGTTCGATCAAGTTTAGGAGTTCGCTAAACTTATGTTTGTATTTTAAGGTTGTAATCGTTTGTTTTGTTTAATAGCTTGTTAAAATGTTTGTAATTTCTGTTTATTGGGGGGTTAATCGAAACAAATAAGTGTTGTATTAGTTATGTTTAATGAATTACTTCTATGGGAAATCAATGAAAGTTTAATCTATTTCCTTAATAAAATTATTACAGACCTTTAAATTCATTCTTCCCTTGAAAATTCTTTAAATAATTTTATTAATCAGCAATTTTTTGTTAAATTTTACATATATTATTGTTGTGATCATATCCGTGTAGTACATGTACTTGGGAATTATATATTCTCTGGTCTCTGTTTTTCCTGTCTATGCACACTCGTAACAGTGTAACTATATAAAAAGTGGTCAGCAATCAGCTAGCCGTATCACTCCAAACTGTAATTGAAAATAATACAGTGAATCCAACGACGGTTATAATAAATATTTTTGTAATCTTTTCTTTTAAAAGAAGTTAAAATTTTAATTTTTATGGATGGAGCAAATACTGTTATAGAACACTTTATTTCTTAATAGGCTGATTCAGAATGCACGGTATTTAAAATAAGAATATGATAAATTATGATATCCTATGCTTAAATAAAAATAAATATATAATTAAGTGAATATCCTTATACAATTACGTTATGGACAATAATCATTAAATAGAATAAGAACATTATTATCAATATAATAACTAATTATGAGTATATGTTATATTTTATTATGTTAATCGATCATGGTAAATTATGATGAATATGTATATTCCAATTCATTTGTCACATACAACATTCATGTGGAGGAACTAAGAAGCAGCAATTAATAATTCAGAACTCTTAAAGCATAATCGATTAATTATTAATGACCAGTTACACCTTGGCCATGCATATTAATCTGTTATCTCCATGCTCAAAAGCCATATATGTTCTGACATCATTATAGCGATGATTTTATTTCTAATCCTTTAAAATTTTTATTTATAACTTATCTCATATAATTGTTTTATAAATTTGATTTCTAATCAATGTGAGAGTAAAGTTGAACTGAATTAAAGAAAAACAAAAACATGATAATTATATTTTAAATCAACGAGTGATAAATAAGTGATTTGATATTTTTTTTTTCTCTTAAAAATTAAAAAATTCTTTTGGAGTAAATATTTGTTATTATAGGCGAGTTGACAAATGACAATAACTATAGATAATGCCAAAAAAAATTTACTAGCATTTTATTTTGAAAGTCAATTTCATTTGGTATATTAAATAATTTTCCCAAGAAAAGAATTGTCTCAATTCACAGTCTATTGAATTGGAACCATTTTTATCATTACAAACGGCCAAAAGCTTGGAACAAATTCATGCAAAAGCCAAAATAAAATTTCACTCGGTGCTTGTTGAATAGGAGCAAAATAGTATATTGGAACTTGAAAGTTATCTTTTTCATTAATTAAACACAACTGTGAAGCAAGCTACAAATCATTAATATCATTAAAGAGGCCAAATCAATGGTTTTTCAATGTTATAGTAAACATGGGAATTGAAAACTATAATATATTTCGGTTACAAACGAGTTAAAGCTCTGTGTCGTTTAACCAAAGAACAAAACAAAACTACAGGTGCATATTACGTACGCCATTGATATTTTACGAAAGCCAAAACCAAATTCCACTCGGTGGACCTTCAATTAATACCAATTTTTCAAAGAAACCTAGGGTTGAAACTAGGGATTATTAATGATGATGAGGTCAGGCAAGCGAATGGTGAGATAGTAACTGTAAGTCTCCATCAATTCTAAAATGTCGTTTTTTCCTGGAATTTCAAAAGTAGTGATATATCTATGTGTGGGGGTCAAACTTTAACAATAATATCAATTTTTAAGTTAGTTTAATGGGGGCCAAAGTATTTTTCATAAAGTCAATTATAACCACCAAGCTTGTCTAAGTCCGTGACTCAAAACTATGCGTGGTGGATGACCAAAATAAATTTTTTTTTAAAAAAAAAAAAATTCTGAAAAGACTCGTACTCTTGGTAGAAAGTACTCGTACTCAAAATAAGTGGTTTTAATGGTTGATTAATTTCAATCTATCAACATTCTAATTGTTGAAGAAATCAATCATGGTCTGTAGCCACCAGTCCACCATCCATCCATCCAGACCTTTTTTTTGACAAGACAACGGTGAAATGAAATATGAAAAATGATTAATATAATTAATATCACAAATACAAAATAAACTTTCAAATTAATTGATGTAATTAACTGCAACAAGTCAACAATTAATTCAATAAAAATATATATTAATTATAAGTGCTTTGATTAAAGAAAAACATATGTTAACTAACTTTGGATGGATGTTTAATTTAGTGAGTAAAGTTAGATACATTGTCATTGTCAAGCAATTAACCACCACTCCCGTGAACAATGAATCTTATATTTTTTGCACGTACAAGTTTATATATGTATTAACTATAACTAAAAATTAATCGCTATTATATTTAGATAAGCATTCCTTAATTTGTTTCGAATATTCCCTAAAAAAGAATCATCCAATCCATTCAACTTTCTTATACATATATATACGTATATTAGTTTATATAATTATAGATAGATTGATGATGACATAATTAATTAAGATTCTATACAAAGATAAATTCACGTAATGCCAGATTTTCTTTGAGATGCCAGACCATATATATCTATATATAAGACAGAACAGAAAGTCATGTGAATTTTTTGTTCTTTTGTGTAAAATTTCTTACATGCAGCTTAAAAGATTGCTAATTGTATTATACCTTTGTCATGAAGCGATAATATCACATGGCTTTGGAAGATTATTATATCGCTTGCCTTTGGCCTCTATATATGACTATATATACATTGACTATTACTAAAATTTAAAATTGAGTTTTACGTCAACATATTTTAATGGAGAAAAAAAAAAAAAAAAGAGAAAAGATACGATTTAATTGTCTTTGGCAAGAAATTGATATAGTGGAAACAAGTTTCACCTAATTTTATTTTAGCTAATTAATTAGTTATATAGTTATTCGAGCTTATTATTGTGTATATATGTATATTTATTGTTTGTTGAAAAATAATTGAAGAAGCTTATCATTTTTTGTTACTAAGCATTATTAATTATGAATTCATCTTCATTAGTTAGATGTGGTACAAGAAAGAGTCATGTACTTTTATTGGAGGAGTGGGTAAGTCCACCTATTGTTTTTTAAAATTTAATATTGATGGTTATGTTATTAAAAAGCCAGGCCCAGCGGGTATCGCAGGAGTTTTAAGAAATTCTTCAACGGTAGTTAATTGCATGTTTTACAAAGTAATTAGCATATTAGACTCTAATGAAGCTGAATTGTTGGCATTGTTTGAAGCTATTCAGATTTTTGTTTCCTCTTCTTTGAGATTTGTCATTTGATAATTAATCGGACTCTAACAATGCTATAGGTTGGATGTTGCATAAGGAGAAAGACCATAGAAGTGATGGAAATTGTTCAATAAATTATATGAGATGGTGTTGTCGTGTTCTATATTTGTTTTGCTCATATCAGAAAATTTAAATATCATTATTGCCTAGTTAAGAAAAAGGTGAATGCTATAGAAAGTTTTTTTGTTTGGTTATAATACTGTGGATCTTATGTTTGTTTACTTTTACCTCAAGAGTGAAAGATTTAAGTTTATCCTAATTATTTTCAGTTGTTTTTTTGGGTTTTATTTAACTAACTTAGGTCTTAGTTTGGATATATTGAAAAAATTTATTGGCTTGAATTAAATTCCTGAATTAGTTAAACTCTTTTCGGTTTTATTTTATCTAATAATATTAAGAAATTTATTTTCTGGCAAAAAATAAAAAAAAAAGTGATTCTAGATGGATATCATCTAAATTAATTAATTAATTATGTCAACCTATCGATAAGCCTATAAGTCTAACTTTTTTTTTTTTTTTTTTTATCAGCAAAAAAGAAGAATTAATATTATTAATGGTGAATGAGAAAAAGTTAGTTAATCCAAGTCTAACCCGAATCTTTTCAAATTATGAAAGGCATAATCCCTTCATATCTGGTATTTGACAATGATATTGATATTATACGCAAGTCCAAATCAAAACATGGGAGTAATGATTTTAAGAATTAACTTATCATTAGTGTATAATTAACAAGAAAATGACCATAGCATTACTAGTTGTTTTCATGAACATTGAAAAGAAACACGTAAATAAACATCAAACATGAAAAAATAAAATTAATTATTTAATTAATTTCTGTGGTGTGAATTTGATGGAAAGGAATTAGAAAAGGAAAATTGATGGTGAGGCGTATTTATTTGACAGTGGATGACAACGATTAAGCAATTCTTTGAAAAAAAATTTTGAGCTAGGTCGGTCCTCCTAACTCTGTCATTTTCCAAATACACTTGTAGCTACTGGAGCAATTCTAAAACGGGAGAAATAGCATACTTGGCAAACTTGGTTCTTTTAGAATAATTTCGAGCAAGAATTTCTTTTTTATTTTCAGAAATATTCGGAATATTTCATTTTTTAATAGAAGAGTCGTTTTCTTTTTCAAATATTATTCAATAGATTACGTATTAATTAATATTCAATTAATATTTTCTAAGATTATCGACAAAAAAGATTATAACCTCGCGAATGACTTCATTATATATCTAGTATAAGGCTATTTATATACCAAATCAATCCTATAAAATTAGTTAGTGTAAGTGAAGATGGTTCGCAGTATTGTACGCTTGCAGAAATTTTCAGTAATATGTAAACTTAAAAAGATGGTATTGCATGTATGTTTTAATTTGTATTTTTCCTATAATTAGATTTTTGAAACAATTAAATTTGTTAATTAGATAAATTTTGTATTTTATCATATATTAAATATGTTCAATATGATGGTGATTAGAAATTCAATAATTTTATATTATTTTTTCTGTTTAATGTTAAGTAAATATACAAAAACAAAACAAAAGAAAGAATTATAAAATTATTAATATATTTTAATAACATGTTAATAAAATTAGCAAAGGATTTTAATAATAAAATTAATAAGTTTAGTAAGTGATTTGGCAATGTTTATATAACTAAGAGATTTAGCAACGGCTTAGTCACTGAATTACGCAAGAGATTAATAAATTTAGTAACATATTTAGTAATAAAAATAAATAAATGGATTTAGCAAAACATTAGACACGAATAAGTAACGGATTGATAATAAAATTTTGATATTATATCATTTAGGAAATGAAATATCCGTTCCTAATTTAGCAGCGCCCGTGATAAAATATTTAGTAAGGCACTTTTAGAAAGTGATGAAATGTTTCTAAATTCAGTTTAGCAACGGATTTCCTACATAAACTGTATTTTTTTTTATAGTGTACATTGGTGGAGATACAAGATTTAAAGCTATATAAAGCCAAGAAAAAAAAAATTCATTTATTTTCGGAAAATAACTGTAAAAGTATTTTTCAGGGAAATTTTTTTCATTAAATTCATAAATAGAGAATTATATAATTACTAATTTTGAATTATTTATTTCAACATAAATAGTCTTTGATCCAATCAAGCAGATCATTCATGTAAAAGTTAAATCACGATGTTACTAATTCAATAGCAATACAATACAAAGGGAAAACATAAACTCAATAGATATATAAGAATAATTCTTTTCAGTGAAACCATGTGCTATCGGTAGCCCGACTAATATAGATGTATGAATATTGATATATGTAAAAGATTAAATGAACATCGTAGGCTGTCGATAGCTATATCGGATAATTTTTTTGTGGTTTTATCATGGAGTAGTGTACCGATTAAGTTGCTGGATGGCATTTAAACAAAATAATGAAATGCAAGTTTCTCAATAAATAATAAGAAAAAGAGCAAGTCTCTGAGAGAGAGATCTCAACTGCTTGAACATCATACAACACTTGACTTAATTACTCCCTCAAGTATAACCCTAGAATGGAATTTAATTCACTGTTTGGCACTGCGAATCAAACCCTAAATGATCAAGTCACAGACACTAACACTAACCAAAAAGAAAGAAACTAACACAAAAACTAAGGACAAATGAATTTACCCCATAAGATTAACCTTATTGGTGGAGTAGTACAATGTTTCAAAGAGGAGGACACACAAAACCAGGAGGTGGATTCTTTCCACAAGTTATTAAAACTTGAAGAGCAAGAGGAATGAAAATGTTGATATTAAGAAGCTTAAGCCTTATAGTTGTGCATAGACAAACTGCTGCTTCAAGCTCTAGCAATCCTTTAATTACGGGGCAGCAAACATTCTCAACTGGATTCCCTAATCCAACATGCACTAATCCTCCTAATACATCAACACAAGCCCCTAGCTTAAGGGCGTTGATTGGACAAGTGGGTTGAGTAGTAGGTGGAGGATTAAGCCCCGGAACACCACCACCACCACCTCCTCCTCCTCCTCTAAGGGCGTTGATTGGACAAGTGGGTTGAGTAGTAGGTGGAGGATTAAGCCCCGGAACACCACCACCACCACCTCCTCCTCCTCCTCCTCCACCGCCTCCGCCACCGCCGCCGCCTCCGCCACCACCAGATGGAGGGCTAGGCGTGTATGGTGGGTAACCTGAAGAAGGCGGCGGTGTTATTACAGGAGGAGGTGTTATTATTACAGGAGGGTTTACTACAGGAGGAGGATTAATGACTATTGGTGGCAAAACCACTGGTGGGTTTTTTGTTGAAGGTGGTTTTGGGTGGCCGCCGTGGTGTGGTGGGTGCTTGGTGCTTGGTGGGTTAGGATGAGGAACTTTTGGGTGGGTTGGACGGTGGCCTGGTGGATGTGGCTGAGTACAAGGTGCACAAGCATAAATTGGTGGCAATGATATTGCCATGAAAATCATAAAAATGAATAACAAAGCTTCAAGTTTAGAACCCATGATTGTTAGGGTTCTCTTGAAATTTGCTAAACTAATATTCTTTTTCTTGTGTATTTTGATTGGTTTGGGTCCTATCATTATATAGCTGAATTCTATAAGCAACCCGTGAACTAGCTAGTTTTCCGAGTACGTGGAAGCTAAAAAAAGTACTCTTAACATCATTTTTAGAGAAACAGGCAATCTTAAACTGGAAATTTGGATTTTTGCTGGTCAATTTCAAACTCCAATGCGTATCCGTGACTCCTTTTCAGTTTCTGCAGGGACAGATTCTTTTTTCTTTATTGTTTTTCATTTGCATGTCTCTTGATTTTCTTTTTGGATGCCAATATCATTTCTTTTTTGATTTTTAAATGGGTTGTCTTATTTATTTTGCAAAAAATATATAGCATGAAATAATCTATAGTTTTGAAGTTACAGGCACATGGAGTCTTATACTTCGGGTCTACATACTGTACTCTATTATTTCTGTTGGCGGTTTTGATGATAATGGTGGGTGCTGGATCTATTGTAGAAGATGGAGGTTTTAGGGTTTTGCATTTTGCAGTACAGGCATGCATTATATTATTGAGTTCAGTTCACGAAGTAAACATGTGAACGTTTCTATGTGGTTTTGTTTTCTTGCATTTTAAAACGTTATCAGCAGTAGAAAACTTCTATACATGTGTTTTTCTGTATATGTTACTTAAGCCATGGTGTAAAGTCTTTTGATCCACATTGCGAAACTTGTCCTCATCCATAATTAGCCAAGACATTAAAATCAAACATATTCATTTTCTGTCATTTACACATTATTCATGTGAATTTTCGGAATTGTGTTGTCATTCTGATCAGGAGTTGCAATATCCTTTAGAAGCATTTTTCGTAGTGGAAACAAATTTATTTTATTTATGCACAAATCCTTAATTATTGTTGTTATATTATTATTATGATTATTTTGCATTAATTAAACAAAAATTCTTTAAGTAAAATTTAACTGCGTAGATAGATATATTCTCTGAAGAAAAATATGACATTATTTAGTTGGCGGATAAATATCATTAACTTTAATCTAATTTGCATATAAAAGAACTACAAATTGTCGGTTCTTTCCCCTGTTCATCGCCCCAGTTGTTCACAAATTTTGGCCTTTTTGTTTTCTTGCGCATATAAGAAATATAAAAATAATTTAGATGCTTTCTAAAGAAGAAAATCCCCAATGGTACATTGATTTGTTATGAATTGTTGGTGGTAACACCATCCAATTATTAGTTAGCGAAGTGTAATTTGAAAGGCTTCTATTTTTAAGTAGCACAAACTGTAACTTCTAATTTAATTCGCCCAATTTTGTCAAGCAATGACCAGGAAAGGTAAGCGCCCACAACAGTATTAAGTCAACTTGCTTTGGCATTCACACACAGAGACAGAGGCAAGTGAAAAAATTTTTTCTTATTCCATTTCATTAACTAATTGCAAATAAAACAATACAGAAAATGACATAGAAGAAGGCGAGATGCCCTTCTTGCCGTGTAAACAATAAAAAATGATTTTGATCACCAGAAACAAAGGATGTTAAGCTGCAAGAATGAAATGAGAAAAAATATTGAAAATAATAATAATGGATTAAATTTATGCGCACTTGAATCCTTCAGGAACCTTCTTTCCACAGTAGTTAAGCAACAAGCTCAAGTCAATAGGAAGATTTAGGTTAATGCCCAAAAGACTAGCCTTAATGGTAGTGCAAAGGCAGACAGCGGCTTCAAGATCAACAAGATCGCCAAGGAGGCTACAGCAAGGGGTCTTTGGTGGCTTACCAACTGTAACATTCAACAAACCCTTCAAAACATCAACACATACACCCAGTTTCAAGGTATCTCTAGGACAAGCACCAGTTGATGGGTTAGGCGATGGCTTAGGCTTAGGTTTTGGTGGTGGTGGACAATTGGTAGAGCTCACTAAAGTGAAGAAGAGAAGGTTCAAGGAGAGAAGAAGGGCAGTGGAGACTAGAGTTCTTGAAGCCATTTCTCAAGAATTAATTAATTCTTCGGATATATGGTTCTTAATTTGTTAGCTTCAAGAGACTGACGAACATCGTAGAATGGATTAAGGAATTTATAGATGGAGTTTAAGCATTGTTTGAGCTTAAAAAATCATAATAATATGACCCATGTGAGAGTACATTGTTGGAAACAACCTGTCGCTGCAGCTTGAGCTTGGAATATATGTGCATATATGATTCTTCTTTGAAAATTCCTAATATTGAGTTCGTCTACTTGTAGGCACATTCATTCCATACAAACCGATTGTTGAATGATCTGCCAGCATCCGTAGTTGGCCATATATTCCTTTTCCGTGAATCACGCATCACTGATGCGGATTTTTAAATTGCATAGCTGATCTCTTTGATCTTGACCCATTATGTAAACCGTCCTTACTTAAAAGGAATTTTTTATGGATAGAAAATTTTATGCTTTTAGAAAATGTAAATAATGAAAAACCCACATAGGTCTCTTATAGGACTTTAAATTTAAAAAGAAAAAAAAGAAATTAACGTAATTTTTGTGTATCATATACCACCATCTTCCTAATTATGTGATCTTATGCGGATTAGAGAGGATTCACAATGTATATATATATATATATATATATGGTTGGCCTTAAAAATCAAACTCTAGTCAACATAATATTGAGAGTAGTTTTGGATTTTTTACCGCTAGATTAAAACTTCATTTTCAGAATTTATTATTGTCTGCTTACAAAAAATTAATTTAACTTAATTATTAAGCCATGTCTCCGGTTGTTTTCTAGATTTTTTTATTTAGCGTTTACGAGTTAGGTTGGGTGTATCAGGGACATAATGGATTGGGTTTAAAAACTTTGATATGCTAAGTTATTTTTATAAATTAATAAAATAATTATATTTTGCTGATAAAAAGAAAACACATATCTGCATTCTTATTAACTTCTAAAACAGGCATTTCCATTGAAAGTCAAAAAGAGCAAAAACACTTATATATAAATAGTTATTTTCTTACTCGTAGCAGCAGTTGAACGTATTGTGGGATCAGTAAATTTCAGTCAATCGCATTACTAAAATTACTCATGCAGATCGATAAGCTTCAAACTATATATATATATTCAATCATTCATTCGAGGAATAGAAAGGTTTGAATAATTAATCATTACCTATATAAAAATATATATATTTATTAAAAATTTAAACACTAAACTAAACTTATTTAGATTTTTTTGGAACATATTATTTCATTATATTAAAAAAACAATACAGACGCACGACGAAGTAGGCAAGAAAACCTTCTTGCCAAATCGATTACAACAGTAAGATATTATTTTGATTGAGCTTCTATGGCATATATGCCAAGAAAACATCTCATGAATAAATTAATACAAAACGAAAGAATTTATTTAAATTAACTTGGAATAAATAGAATGCATAACAAATTTATGCACATTGAAATCCTTGGGGGACCTTCTTGCCACAGTAGTTAAGCAACAAGCTCAAGTCAATTGGAAGATTTAGGTTAATGCCCAAAAGACTAGCTTTAATTGTAGTGCAAAGGCAAACAGCAGCCTCAAGGTCAACAAGGTCGCCAAGGAGGCTACAGCAAGGGGTCTTTGGTGGGGTACCAATTGTGACACTCAACAAATCCTTCAAAAGATCAACACATACGCCCAGTTTTAGGGTATCCCTTGGGCAAGCTCCATGTGATGGGCTTGGTGTCGGGTTATTGGGCTTAGGAGATGGGGTTCTTGGGCTTGGTCTAGGGTTATTGGGCCTAGGTGATGGGTTGCCGGGGCTTGGTGTCGGGTTATTGGGCTTAGGTGATGGATTGCTCGGATTTGGTGTCGGGTTATTGGGCGTAGGTGATGGGTTGCTGGGGCTTGGTGTTGGGTTATTGGGCGAAGGTGATGGATTCCTGGGGCTTGGTATTGGGTTATTGGGTGAAGGTGATGGGTTGCTGGGGCTTGGTGTTGGGTTATTGGGCGAAGGTGATGGGTTCCTGGGGCTTGGTATTGGGTTATTGGGTGAAGGTGATGGGTTGCTGGGGCTTGGTGTTGTGTTGGGATTGTCCACAATTGGTAACTCACCAATTGTGACAACACTCAACCACCCCCCTAAAAACAAAGACTTTCAAGCTGAATAAAAGGCTATACGTCTTCGGGCAAGCTTGTTTTAGGGGCGTATCCCATTGGGGCAAAGGCGCCTTCGGCGCATTGTGATGGGCTTGGTGTACCGGGATATATTGGCGTTTCTCTTTCAGGTAGATGGTTGATTCAGTGGGCTTTTTGGTCTAATATTTCGAGTGTTTAGATGTGGGGTTGTGTCCTATAAGGCTCGGCTACTGTGGGAAGTCCCATGGTATCTTTTCCATGTGCCATCATTTGGTTATGCAATTCCTATTTTTTCCAAAGTTAATTTTATAAAATCAAATTCTTTCGTTTTGTAATATATGGGTTTGACTCGCGAGCTTGGTAGAGTCAGGTTATTTCGGGCTTTAGTGACTATGGAGTATTGCTCAGGCCATTTAATGTAAGAGTCTCGAGCGAGTTATAAAATAATTTTCGTGGTGTTCGTTAACGGTGATGGGGCCTCTGGGGCTTTTGGTTTGTGGTCAGTTGAGCCTTTATGGTCCGGCCGGTTCTGGGTTTGCGATAGTGTTGATGTTGATTCTTATCACTATGGAGCTTGTAAGTAGGTTGGGAATTATTTTTGGTGAATGTAAGATGTTTAGGGTTTGTCATCTGGTGAGCTTTTTGGATTAGTTGAGGTTTATATTATGGGCGAAAGGTGATGGGTTCATGGGGGCTTTGGATATGGTGGTATAGGGAGTTATAATTTAGTGTGTGAACAGGCACCTTATGGGTCTCGTCTTGTTGGGCTTGGTCCTGGGTAATGGGAGCTGAGGAGAGTTTGAATTGAGGTTAAATTAAGGGTCAATTAGATGATGGGAGTTGTCCGGTGGCTTGGTGTGTTGTGTTTTGTGGGGTAAAGTAGGCATTAGTCAGGTGGAGTTGCTTGTGGCTCATGAGGAGTAAGAGGTTTTGGTAGTTTATGGCAGTGGCAGCTTGATCCTAGGCGTAAATATTTACGATCCCACAATTCAGTGTGGATCTAAAAAGAGCACAAGAGGACCTAAGTGAAGAATAAGAAGGATATGAGGGGAAGAAAGAACGAAACAGGAGGCAATGGAGGTACAGTTCCAATTTGAAGCCATTACTCACATCTCTGTGTCATTATCTTAGTATTACCTACAACAATATGAGTATGAGTGATGAGTGAATGGTGTAGAGGGGGGTAGGTTTTAATAGAAGGACCTACTTAAGCTACATAAAATTTAATTGAGTAGAATATAGGATAAGTTGATGCATGTGGATACAATAATATTTCTTGCATGGGTTAATTAACTATTTAATGAGATGGGTTGCTTGGGTTAGGAGAAGGGGTTTTTGGTTTGGGTGATGGCGTATCAGGTGGACAAGAGCAAGAGGTGACCAAAGTGAAGAAAAGAAGATTGAGGGAGAGAAGAAGGGCAATGGAGGCTGCAGTTCTTGAAGCCATATTTCTCTGTGTTTTCTTTAGTTTACTAAAATAAGTATGAAGTGATGAGAAATGGTGGAGAGGGTGTAGGGTTTTTATAGAAGGACACCACTTAAGCATAAAATTAGAAAATTAGAATAATGTGATGCATGTGGATACATATATTTTTGCATGGGTAATAAATATTATGAGACACAAGCTGTCACTTTGCAGCTAGCGTTTGAAAATCATCGTCGTTGAAAAATCTTCAATATAATTAGCAACTACGTGTAGGCACATTCCATAGGAAAAAAATGAAATTTTGTTTATTTATTTGCTTTAAATGGGTTGTTTTATTGACTTTATAAGTGCCTAGTCTCATAATTACATATATAGAATATTTATAGTGCAATAACAGTTGTAGATAGACAAAATCCCTGAACTTGGGGAGAATTTAAGTTTTTTTAATTACTATATTATTATTGTTAAAAACCTATTCTTTAGTCAAGAGCAATCACCTATTATTACATTGGAAATTTATTTCAATTGATTCTCTTTGCCTTGTAGTTTTACTTTCCCTATTAAATATAACTCTGATGTTCCAATTTTTTAAATATTTCTATTTTTTCATACGGTATTGTTTGATTTATAATCCTTTTTAAAAATTATTAATTACTTGCTTGTATAAATAATAATATTAAAAAAAGAGTTATCTATTGGAGTACGTGAATAATCCTACATCGGATAAATATAACTAATTAAAAGGGCATATAATTTCAAGGGTGAACTAACCAAAATAGCTTAGACTATTTTGTATTAAAAGTAAGCCCAATGTTAAATACAGATTTGATTAATTTGCTCATAGGCCCCATATGCTTAATATTATATAAATAATAATAATAATAACAAACAATCCCTTATCCAAATTCCTCTAATGATATGCTTAAAATTATGATTACAATTCTTGCAATTACCCAAAAATAAGGTGATTCTTAATAGATAAATATATTAAAATTCTTTAATTTTATTTAATTAAATAAAATCATGAATAAGTTAAAATATATTCGACAATTAAATAAATTAAATTTAAATAAAATTTTAAATTGGATGTATCAAATCACATCTTATTAAATAAAATTTTAAATTAGATGTATCAAATCACATCTTATTCAAAAAAAAAAAAAAAAAGTTAGATCACCTCTGTTTAAATTAGATTTATTTGATATATTTTATCAAATCACATCTTATTAAATTAGATTTATTTAATAAGACGTTATTAGGAGTACAAAACTTCTATGCTTATGTTTTTTTATGTATATGATATTTTATTTTCTATTTATTGGGAAGGACCACTAAATCGGAAGAATATAATGTGATAGCCTTCTCTTTTATTCATAAATTGATGAAAATTCTTTAATTAAAAAGTTTCGGACTTAAAATTTCTCGCTTATCATATAAATGAAAAGACCAATGATCAGATCATACATTTAAAAAATTGATTAATTCAACTTTCCTCAAATAACATTGTTCATTTCAAATTATGTTATTTAAGCCATAGAGTAAATTCTTTTGATCCACATTTCAAAGCTTGTCCAACTAAGATATGTAGGTAGAATTTATAATAGACCAAAGTATTAAAATCATACATATTCTGATTAAACTTTATTCATTTTCTGTAATTTGATAAATTTTGAAATTCGAACTCAATTAATTTATAACTATCAAACCGACCTGAATTAATTTCGAACTTAGCTATTTATAAACGAACGGGTACTGGAGCTCAAGCTCGAGTTATGCTGCTAGGCGTGTTTATAACAATTCCAATCCTAAGCATAATTTGATGTGTCCTGGAGGAAACACGGTCCAATTAATAGTGTTTTTTCTTTCAAATATATCAATTAATAATTGGCAAAGTGTAACTTAATTAAAATGCTTTTCTTTTCTTCTTTTTTTTTTTTTTTTCAAAAAGAAAACTTAAAAAGGCTTATTTTTATGTGCACGAATTGTAACTTCCCATTTAATTCACTGAACTCTTGGCAAGCCAGATAAAAAACGTGATAATTTTTTTTTATCTGAAAAAAAAAACAGTATATTTATTGCGTGCATGGACTGCTACGTATAACATGAAGAATTAGCAAATTTAGGCACAGAGGAGTAAGGAGTCAACTTCCTTTGGAATTCACCTTAAACAATCAACAACACATAAGCAACTGGAAAAAAAAAACAATTCTTATTCCATTAAATTAATTAATTGCAAATAAAAAATATTACAGAAACAGACATATCTATAGCAGAAGGCGAGAAGCCTTTCTTGCAATGGAAACAATAAATTCTTTTATCACAAAAAAAAAAAAAAAAAAAAAAAATTCTTTTAATCACAAGCAAAAAAAAAACAAAAAATCAATAGTTTACAAGAATGAATGAAAAAAAAAAAAAAAACTTGAGAATTACAAGAATGAAATAAAAAAAAAAAAAAAACTTGAGAATAAACAGAATAATAATGGATTAAATTTATGCGCACTTGAATCCTTCAGGGACCTTCTTGCCACAGTAATTAAGCAACAAGCTCAAGTCAATAGGAAGATTTAGGTTAATGCCCAAAAGACTAGCCTTAATGGTGGTGCAAAGGCAGACGGCAGCTTCAAGATCCACAAGATCGCCAAGAAGGCTGCAGCAAGGGGTCTTTGGTGGGGTACCAACTGTAACATTCAACAAACCCTTCAAGACATCAGCACATACACCCAGTTTCAGAGTATCTCTAGGGCAAGCACCAGTTGATGGGTTAGGCGATGGCTTGGGCTTAGGTTTCGGTGGTGGTGGGCAATTGGTAGAGCTCACTAAAGTGAAGAAGAGAAGGTTCAAGGAAAGAAGAAGGGCAGTGGAGACTACAGTTCTTGAAGCCATTTCTCAAGAATTAATTAATTCTTTGGATATATGGTTCTTAATTTGTTAGCTTCAAGAGACTGATGAAAATGGTGCAATGGATTAAGGAATTTAAGCGCGGTTTGAGCTTTAAAAATTCTTATAATAGAACCCATGTGATACATTGCAAGGGAATATTGTTGGAAACAACCTGTCATTGCAACTTGAGCTTGGACTATATATCATCCGATCTTCTTTGAAGATTCTTGATTTTAATTATGTCTACACATTGGTCGTTGAATGTAGAATCTATAGTTGGCTATATATCTATTCCTTTGCGTGAATCACACATCATTGCTGCAAATCTTGAAATTCCATATACAATTAAGTATAACCGTTCTTAATTAAAAAAGAATCTTGTAATGCATAGACAATTATGTTCTTATAATAAAATATAAACAATAAAAAACAGAAGAACAATTGAGGGGATTGGAGATCTATGGTGTAGTGGGTTGCAGCCCCTCTCAACATAAAACCTCATAGGTTAGTTCCCCTGTCTCTGGGAGCCAACGGAGAAGAGAATTACTTGAAACATTAACTGGACACGGACAAGAGGCAGCAAAGGAGAATAGTCGAATTACTTGAACTATTAAAAGATTTGATTTTTTTTTTTTTTTTTTTTTTTTTTTTTATTTTTTTTTTATTTTTTTTTTTTTTTTTTTTTTTTTTTTTTTGTTTATAAAAAGCATTGTGGTTGTGGTTGGCCTTACAATTTTTTTAAAAAAATTGTGTATACATCGTATTAAATTCCTCTACACTTTTTTTTTCATCTTCCTAATTACGCGAGCTTAAAATGATTAGAGAATGTGCAATACAAAAAGGAATTAGATGGTTGGCCCTGAAAAGTAAACTTTAGAAACATAAGATTATGACATTAATTTTTGAATTTTTTATCAGCTGTCAGATGAAAACTTCATTTCAGAATATTTTTTTCCCCTTACAACAAATTAGCTTAATTCAATCGTTAACCTATGTCTGCATTTATATATCAACTTCCAAAACAGCCATTTTCCATTGAAATAAACCAAAAAAACACTTATTTAGCTATTTTCTTACTCATAGTAGTAGTTGAATTTATCGTGGGGATAAATACTTCAACTAATTATATCAGTATATTTATGTTATAAATGAAGTGTAAAATTACTCAAATTCAATTTTGTTTCAAAATATATTATTACTACATTTTGATAAAGAAATTCAACAACAATATTTTTATTTTTAACATGGTAATTGAGTAAAATTTCTTTAGCAATATAGCCTCTAGTGTTAGTGTGTATTTATATATAAATATATAATGTTTGAAATTACACGAGAAAGAAGGATGAAACGATGAATATTTATTTGTCATTCAGAAAGATATTCTCTCTTCAATTATTTATTCGAGAAATAGAAAGATACTAGTTATTCATAATTAGTATATAAAAATATAAATTTATTAGGAAGTAAAATGCTAAAGTAATACGAATTATTATCATTATGTTTTTTTTGCAACATCTTATTATTTCATTATACTAAAAAAACAATACAAACGCATGACGAAGAAGGCAAGAAAACCTTCTTGCCAAATCGAATACAACAGTAAGATATTATTTTGATTGAGCTTCTATGGCATATATGCCAAGAAAACATCTCACGAATAAATTAATACAGAACGAAAGAACTTATTTAAATTAACTTGGAATAAATAGAATGCATAACAAAATTATGCACATTGAAATCCTTGAGGGACCTTCTTGCCACAGTAGTTAAGCAACAAGCTCAGGTCAATTGGAAGATTTAGGTTAATGCCCAGAAGACTAGCTTTAATTGTAGTGCAAAGGCAGACAGCAGCTTCAAGATCAACAAGATCGCCAAGGAGGCTACAGCAAGGGGTTTTTGGTGGGGTACCGATTGTTACACTCAACAAATCCTTCAAAAGATCAACACATACACCCAGTTTTAGGGTATCCCTTGGGCAAGCTCCTTGTGATGGGCTTGGTGTAGGATTATTGGGCTTAGGGGATGGGTTTCTTGGGCTTGCAGTTTTAGGGTATCCCTTGGGCAAGCTCCTTGTGATGGGCTTGGTGTAGGATTATTGGGCTTAGGGGATGGGTTTCTTGGGCTTGGTGTCGGGTTATTGGGCTTAGGTGATGGGTTTCTGGGGCTTGGCGTGGGGTTATTGGGCGAAGGTGATGGGTTGTTAGGGCTTGGTGTCGGGGTTTTTGGCGTGGGTGATGGATTGCTCGGGTTTGGTGTCGGGTTATTAGGCGAAGGTGATGGGTTGCTGGGGCTTGGTGTTGGGTTATTCGGTGAAGGTGATGGGTTTCTTGGGCTTGGTGTTGGGTTATTGGGCTTAGGTGATGGGTTGCTGGGGCTTGGTGTGGGGTTTTTGGGTGTAGGTGATGGGTTGCTTGGGTTAGGAGAAGGGGTTTTTGGTTTGGGTGATGGCGTATCAGGTGGACAAGAGCAAGAGGTGACCAAAGTGAAGAAAAGAAGATTGAGGGAGAGAAGAAGGGCAATGGAGGCTGCAGTTCTTGAAGCCATATTTCTCTGTGTTTTCTTTAGTTTACTAAAATAAGTATGAAGTGATGAGAAATGGTGGAGAGGGTGTAGGGTTTTTATAGAAGGACACCACTTAAGCATAAAATTAGAAAATTAGAATAATGTGATGCATGTGGATACATATATTTTTGCATGGGTAATAAATATATGTGATGCATGTGGATACATATATTTTTGCATGGGTAATAAATATCATGAGACACAAGCTGTCACTTTGCAGCTAGCGTTTGAAAATCATCATCGTTGAAAAATCTTCAATATAATTAGCAACTACGTGTAGGCACATTCCATAAAAAAAAAAAATAATAAATAAAAATTTGTTTATTTATTTCCTTTAAATGGGTTGTTTTGATGACTTTATAAGTAGCTTCTGCCTAGTGCTGTTTTGGACGAATCTCATAATTACATTTATAGAATATTTATAGCGCAATAACAGTTGTAGATAGACAAAATCCCTAAAGTTGGGGAGCATTTAATTTGTTTTAGTAATTTTTTTTTTGTTTTAATTATGTTAAACAAGCTTTTTTTTAGTCAAGAGCAATCACCTATGATTACATTGGACAGTTATTTGAATGTGTTCAAAGTTTAATGAAATCTCACTAAACGTCTAAATTTCTCTTTGCCATGATAGTTTGTTTGTTCCAATTTTTTAACCAATTCTACATTTCCATGTGGTATTATTTTATTGATTCCTTTTTCAAACAACTTTTACATCTGCACCTGTTTACACCATAATTTGAATCTAATTCATGTTTTTCTTTATTTAGTGTTTTTTCAGTGGTTTAGTGGTTTAAATTCCTAATTTCTTCTGCTACGATTTCATTCAAGATCAATAAATTTTGTCGTGCTTTATCAATTCAGTTCATTTTTTATGTACGAGTTTTAAGAAAAAAAAGTTTTATTCTCTCTGTATTATTTATATTGATTTGAAGTTGATTAACGAAATTTTAATATATTATGGTAGAAAAAAAAGCTAGTGTTAATTACAATTTTTCTAATTCGTTTTTTTCCTTGATTTCTTTACAATACAAATAACAAACAGTTTCATATATCCAAATTATTATATTGAAAATTCTTACGTTTCAAAAGTTCCCAAACAATGAGGTGATTTCAATCTCTGGCTTCTCAAATGAATGTGTATTCTTTTAATCTTACTTTAAGGATTGTAGCTAAAAAATTTCAAATAAAAATTTTTTTAAAAAAGAGAAAAGTTTGGTAGGATTAAACAATCCAAACCAATCCAACATGACTCAATATTAAATTTTTTTTTTTTTAAACTCGTTCATTAATGCAAACAAATCAAGCTAAAATACAAACTGAAACGCGAATATTTTTGTGCATGAGTTTTGTCATCTACAGACTCGACTCAAAATCCCATGAACAACTTTAAGAAAAAATAATTTATGTGCTGATATTATAAAAATAATAATTTTCTTTATATTTTATGAAAAATTTATTACAAAATAAAAGTTAATTAAATTTATTACAATAATTTTACATTTCAACAATAATTTGGTTTAACTCAAAATCAAGTCACATCTTATTAAACATTGCTCGTTTTCAACTCCATAAAGTAGTACCCGCTTTTGTTCTTTTGGCGTGTGTCTATGCCTAAGTTTAACAACCATTACACTTATATATCCTTAGCTAGGAATGGACAGTTCTGATTTCTCATGTGTACCGTGAAAGCAACTGTGCTGCAGATTGGTTAGCCCATTTTGGGAGTAGCCTTGCGTTGGGAGTCCATTTTTTTGAGCTTCCTCCCAATGGCTTTTCTAGTTTTCTGCTCCATGATGTCTGTGGAGTCAGTTATTCTAGGCTAGTAATTGTGTAGTTGTTAGTTTTATTTTCTCTTTTCCAAAAAAAAAAAAAAAAAAAAAAAAAAAAACCCCGTATACAACTTATATAGAAAACATTAGTTATTCCCAACAAAAAAAAAAAAAAAAAAAAAAAACCCGTTACACTTATATAGAAAACATTAGTTATCCCAACAATTATCGACCTACGTATTCAATATACTATAATTGAGTGCAACAATATATATCTATGTGGACGGAAGTCCAAAATACATGGTAAGAAGTTAAACCCAGCCTTGAATTAATTAAGAAATACAAATTAATAATAACATTATGAATTAATTATTTCATTTAACATCAATTCAAGTATATCATATACCAATAAATTGACGAAATTAATTATTAATCTATGCACATTCAAATCCTTCAGGAAGCTTCTTGCCACAGTAGTTAAGCAACGAGCTCATGTCATCAGTTGAAACATTTAGGTTAATGCCCAAGATACTAGCCTTAATGGCAGTGCATAGACAAACAGCAGCTTCAAGATCGCCAAGGAGGCTACAGCAAGGGGTCATTGGTGGAGTACCCATTGTTGCATTCAACAAAGCGTTCAGAAGATTACCGCACAGACCCAGGCTTAGGGTATCCTTAGGGCAAGCTCCGGTTGATGGGACTGGTGCTGGATCGCTTGGCTTAGGTGGTGGCTTGCTTGTTTTTGGTGGTGGTGGTGGTGGGCAAGCGAAAGAGCTTACCAAGGTGAAGAATAGAAGGTTGAAGGTTATTATAATACATATAATAATTCAACATTGCTCAAAAAAAAAATAAATAAATAAATAAATGTTGAATTAATTTTCACTAGAATCCAGTACAACATACAAAGACAGATATGGATGAAAGCAATCAAGAAGCTTTCATCACATAAAATTTTTTTTAAAAAAAGTTGCAATTAAGAAATTATTGAATAAAATGTTTATATAGCAGATAACCAAATAAAACATCCAAAACCTGAAAACACAACACAAAAAAAAGAAAACAAAATCACAAATGTGCATATTTACGCACACTTAAATCCTTCTGGAACCTTCTTGCCACAATAGTTAAGCAACAAGCTCAAGTTAACAGGAAGGTTTAGTTTAAGTCCCAACACATTAGCTTTAATAGTAGTGCAAAGGCAAACAGCGGCTTCAAGATCAACAAGATCACTGATAAGGCTGCAACAAGGTGTCTTTGGTGGGGTTCCAACTGTAACACTCAGCAAATCTTTCAATAGATCAACACATACACCTAGCTTTACAGTATCCTTAGGGCAAGAACCTTTATTCCCTTTTGGCTTTGGTGATGGTGATGATGGTGTTGGTGGGCAATTGGTAGAGCTCACCAAAGTAAAAAAAAGAAGATTTAGGGAGAGGAGAAGGGCAGTGGAGGCTATAGTTCTTGAAGCCATTTCTCACCTAAAATAGTTTCTTGGATAGTTTTAGAGATATGAGCTTTGCTATAGCTAAAGTTTCAAGAGATGGGTGACAATTGTGAAGTCGGTTGAGGGTTTTTATAGATGATGATTGGAGTTTATAATAATTTCTATTATATTTATTGAATTTAAAAAATCTCCAACATGTCAAATGATGGTTGGTAATGTGCCCATATTTCACTCTTGTTAGTAATTCTCCGTCTTATTTATTCTCTCATTTACTGTAATTGCACTCTGAATGCAATATTTAAAATTTAGAAAATAAATTTATTTGGATATATGAAAGCTGATTCAAATGTGAGAGAAGAATATACTTGATTACCTGTGGGCACATTGGATTATTCATGTAAGATACACAACCTGGCAATGCAGGTTGCATGATAAGATGTTTTGTGATTATAGAGTTTGGAGTGTTCCTATTTGTTAGTTGGCAATTCTCTCTCTGCACATGCCAATTATGTAATATTGCATTTTGTTACTAATTCTTCATATATATGTATGTACTTGTTTTGTTCACATCTGCATATTCTGATCTGCAAGTTGAATTTCCAGCTAACTTTAAACATTATTGATGGCTTAACATCGTAACAATTGAAATAAAATTAACAATTTACTGTAAAATTATGAAAGATAATAATAAAGTTTGTTTTTTTGGGTAATTAAGAAACCAAAGCATTATAAACTTATAGAGCAAATCCCAAATCCTAAAGTCGAATCAGAGACTTGCATTGCAAAATCCACATGGAAAAATCGAGAAAGCATAGTGATGGAGAAGAGGACACTGTAGCTCTGGTAATGGCAGTGGGAAGATAGTAGGTAAGGTGGCCATTGAAATGAAGGTCGCATTGAAATGAGAATATAATTTTTCTATCTTATCTCTGTTTCTTTTTTTTTTTTTTTCCACAAATAGTAATAAGGATTGTATTTCTGGAAATTCCTAATTAAAAAATGGTAACAAAACAGTTCAATCTTAAGGATAACTTCTACGTTTTCCTCCCTATTTGCAAATGATAGGAAACCCAAAACTGATTATTGAAGTCAACTTTATAATGCCCCCAAATCCAGTGACATATTTTCAGACTGTTGGAAATATTATAAGTCAATTTCCTGCCAATCAAATATAGTTTGCTTGGTCGTCTTTTCAATTTTTTTTTTTAATTTAAGACCAAAAATCTCATATTAGATTGTTTTCAATCATATAAAAGTCTTAATCAATATTGTAAAAGTTATTTAAAGGGAAAATTACCTTCTGCTTTGTAGCATATATACAAGCTTATCTCAACTTATATAATTTAAAAAAAAAAAAAAAAACAATTCTCAAACCATCAGTCATAATAATTAATTAATTACTTGTGAGCTTTTACATTGAATAGTACTTGACAAACACGATGTTAGAGATCTACTGAATATTAACTTTGGGAATTGTCTATTGATTAATCTCATTCAAAATTGTCCCTTTTTGGCATTAAAACTCACAACAGAAATTTATAATTTCATCGTTCCATTGGACACAATAGCCAATCAATATTTCAAGCTATGCCCACTTCTATATAATCTTAATTTTCAACTCATTCCACAATAAATTATAAAAATCTTAATTTTCAACTCATTCCACAATAAATTATAAATAAGCTCACAAAAATCAGCTAACTTTGATTATAATATTTCTGTTTTAAGTCTGGTCTTTAGGAGAGAGTCATATATATACGCTTTTTATATTGATTTGAATTTAATTACTGAAGCTCTAATATATTTAATAGCCTGTAAATTAAGTGATAATATAAAAAGTGAAAAGTTCAAACATTAAAATATTTCATTTTCTTTGGAAACCATATTTCTAACTAGTCTTTACCTGACAAAGAATCATTTGTTGCAGTTTAAGTTGCGAAACGAAGAGATATGTTATGGAAGGTCTATGCTTGCAGAAGATTTGGAACTTAAGGCAACTGCCCAATGGTAACCGCATCAAGTGTAACACTTGAAATTACAAATGTAAAATATGTCAAGAAAAACAACACAACCATGCATATTATTTTCAAACATCATATTATTACTTGAAAATTTCCAATTAAAATAATAACAACAATTTGCCAAAAGAATACGCATTACAATGAAAAATGAAGTCAGTAAACTTTCTCTGCAACGAGTACGTAACTGCAAGAAATTATTGATTTACCCAATAAAAAACCCAAATTAAGCCAAAACACACACCATTAATTAGGACGAGAAAGAAACTGAATGAATAGTGCAGTATTAATCTATGGACATTTGAATCCTTTGGGAACCTTCTTCCCGCATCTGTTGAGGTACAAGCTCAAGTCAAGTGGAACATTTAGGTTTAGGCCCAAAACATTAGCTTTAATGGCAGTGCAAAGGCAAGCACCAGCTTCAAGAGCAACAAGATTACCAAGAAGGCTACAGCACTGTTGATTTGGTGGGATTTTAATAATCCCCAACACATCTGCACATACCTTCAGCTTTAGGGCATCAATAGGGCAAGTGGCAGCGCTCGTCATATTGAAGAAAAGAAGGTTAAGGGAAAGAAGCAAGGCAATGGAAGCTACAGCTCTTGAAGCCATCTTGGATTTTTTTTTTTTTTTTTTTTAAGGAAGCAAGGCAGATGGGGAAGGCTAGCGAGAGCCTCTTGAAGCCCATCTTGGATTTTTTTTTTTTTTTCGTTCAGGATATAAATTGCCATCTTGGATTTTTTTTTTTTTTTTTTCTTCAGGATATAAATGAGCTTTTGTTTTGATGCTGATGAGAAATAGTGAAGGGGTTTTTATAGAGGGAGATTAAGCGTAAGTTAATGTTAAACAGATCAAGAATGTGATCCATGTGGGCATTATTGAACAAAAGTAGCTGGCATGCGCAGTGAAGCATATAAGTTATGTCTTATAATCAACATATGGGCGCACGTCGAGTAATCGTGTAAGTACCGAATAATCCCATGATCTTCAACTTCAGGGATTAGTTTTTAATTATTGTTCGTAGCTCCTGGAATTACTCATAATTATTCTTTACGTGAAAATTGAGTTTTAAACGTGCTCTTGACCATACTACTTTCACATTTTATTTGTGGGGATCCATAGATCTAGTATAGACAAGTTAATCCCATCAATAACACTCTTTGCTGTTCTCTCTCTTTGAATTCTCATCCTTTTCTATCTTATCTCTGTTTCTTTTCTTTTTCCTCGAATAGTAATAAGGATTGTATTTCTGCAAATTCCTAATTAACAAAATGGTACAAAACAGTTCAATCTTAGGGGATAACTTTTACGTTTTCCGCCAAATTTGCAAATGATAGGAAACCCAAAACTGATTATCGAACACAATGCACTTAATAAAATCTTCCACTGTTGGAAATACTTTCTTGTTTATCAGCAAATAAAAATTTTATTTTAGTAAACAAACATATCCAGGAAAAACTTAGCAAAATTAAGAAACTTTATCCGAGCTAATAAACCCTCTAAATACATCCAAACCTACTTAAAAATGTTAAATGAAAAAAACCTGAAAAACCTTAAAATTAAAATACATATTTATCTTCTGGAGATAAAAAAGAATGAATTTAAAACCAAAACTGAATCGAATCAAATCAAAGTACCGTGAAAGTCAAAAATCTACTTATGACCCAACCCTCAATATCCAAACTGAAGAACCATTTGCTCTTATCCTCTAATCAAAGCCACCTAACCGAAACATAATTATAACCATAGCCAAAAAAAGTTCTGCATAAATTACTCCTTTGTTTTAGCTAGGTTATCTGCAAAACAATTTTTTTCTCTATTAACATGTTTGAATTGAAAGAAAAACAAAGAATCAAGAAGAAGTCAAGTCTATTAAAATTGAACGGCCATCTCCAAAGGCGATGATTATGTTGAGTTACCCAGCCGAAGACTACTCTAGAATCTGTCTCAAAAGTAATTGAAATTTTGGCAAACTTTAAATGAACATAAATCTCAACGGCTTTTGACAAATCGAATAACTGAGCAACATTTGACTCTTTTAAATCAACGGATTCATAAAAACTCATAAGATAAACCCTTGCAAATTCCTCATTACACCTTCAATTTCCGCTAGGTCAGGCTTTCGTAAGGCACATTCATCTGTCAAGCACGATGTTATAGATCTATTGAATATTAACTCTGGGCATTGTCCATTTATTATTCTATTTCAAATTTGTCCCCTTTTTTGGCAAAAGAAATTTCATTGCAATAACCAATCAAATAGTTCAAGCTACACCCACTTTCATATAATCGTAATTTTCACGTCGTCCGTAATAAACTATAAATAATCTTACAAAATTAGCCAATTTTGATATGGTTTTTGATTATAACAGTTCTGTTTTAAATCTGGTCTAGAAGAGAATCATATTTTTTGTAGGCTTTCTGTATTATTTTGAATTTATTTATATTGAAATCCTAATATATTTAATAGTGGGTAAATAGTTAAGTGTTTGATTTTGATAATATCAAATGTGAAAAGTTCAAACATTAATATTTCATTTTCTTTAGAAATCATATTTCTAACTAGTCTTTACCTTAAAAAAAATATTTCTTGCAGTTTACGTGGCAAAACGAAGAGATATGCAATGTAAGGTCGAAGATTTGGAACTTAATGCCCAATGGTTACAGCATCAAGTGTAACACTTGAATGTGAAATTCAACGATAGGAAATTACAAATGTAATATATGTCAAAAAAAAAAAAAAAAAAAGTCAAAAAAAAAAAAAAAAAAAAAAAAAAAAAAAAAAAAACCAACACAACCATGCATATTCTCTTAGAACATCATATTATTACTTGAAAATTTCGAATTAAAACAATAACCGTAATTGGCCAAAAGAATACACATTACAATGAAAAATGAAGTCAATAAAACTTTCTCTGCAACGAGTACGTAACAGCAAGAAATTATTGATTTACCCAAGAAAAATCCCAAAACAAGCAAAAACACACGCCATAATTAGGAGGAGAAAGAAACTGAATGAAATAGTAGTGGAGCATCAATCTATGGACACTTGAATCCTTGTGGAACCTTCTTCCCGCATCTGTTGAGGTACAAGCTCAAGTCAAGTGGAACATTTAGGTTTAAGCCCAACACGTTAGCTTTAATAGCAGTGCAAAGGCAAGCACCAGCTTCAAGAGCAACAAGATTACCAAGAAGGCTGCAGCACTGTTGATTTGGTGGGATTTTAATAATCCCCAACACATCGGCACATGCCTTCAGCTTTAGGGCGTCAATAGGGCAAGTGGCAGCGCTTACCATATTGAAGAAAAGAACGTTAAGGGAAAGAAGCAAGGCAATTGATGCTACAGCTCTTGAAGCCATCTTGGATTTTTTTTTTTTTTTTTTTTTTTTTTTTTTTTTTTTTTTTTTTTCTTTTAGGATATAAATAAGCTTTTGTTTTGAGGCTGATGAGAAACGGTGAAGGGGTTTAAGGGTTTTTATAGAGGGAGATTAAGCCGAAGTTAATGTTAATTAAACAAATCAAGAATGTGATCCATGTGGGCATTATTGAACAAAAGTAGCTGGCATGCGCAGTGAAGCATATAAGTTATGTCTTATAATCAACATATGGGTGCACGTCGATTAATATTGTAATCTGTGGGTGCACCGAATAATCCCATGATCTTCAACTTCAGGGATTAGTTTTTAATTATTGTTAGTAGCTCGTGGAATTATTGATAATTATTGTTTATGTGAAAATAGAGTTCTGAACTCGGTCTTGACAATCGTATTTTTACATTTTAGTTTGAAAGATAAACAATCAACCAAGCACTGCTGGAGACTATATAGAACGCATTTTCAATTTCACAATTCTTTTTGTATTCATGAAAAGCTTCTATAATGATGGTTAATGGAGTTTAAACTCAAGTCTTTTCCTCTCTCCATGAACTCTATTTTTTAAGTTAAAGGTGGGCGAGAGATTAAAATAGTTGAAGAAACCAATTAGCTAGGTATAAAAATTGACTAATAAAGGATTGTAATTAAAAGATATTTTATCTTGGATGGATTAATCTCACAATAATAAAAGCTTAGGTCTCTGTAACATATAAGTACGATTATATATGTTTAGATATCACTTTCTATTTTTTGCATTAACACCCTTTTTGATTAAAATTGCCTGGAATGCTATTTTGTATGGATGCACCTGCATTTCTATATTGTATGAAAGCAAGGTTGTTCCGTACTTCGTATATATACTTTTCTATCGACTTAAATAATCAATCTTATAAGTTTTCTATCGACTTTTCTATACAAATCACTGAATTTAAAAAGATCTTTTATTAAACTTAAACGTGTCTTATCTTTGAAGTCATTTTATAGCTAAGTATTGTGATATTTTTTACATATTAATAATACTTAGCTACATATGTTGTATTTGAAATTCTTTAATTGGGTGTAAATTAATCTATAGATACTGCATATGCTTAGACATATATAGGCCCTGGGGTAAAGTTTACTATTTCCTTCTTTTAATATTGGAGAAAGATACTATTAGTAATATTCAAACTCTGATTAACATTAACAATAAGCCATTATTTGATTTCTCAAAGAAAATAGTTTATTTTATGAAATGAAAATACCTAATCTTTACAAAATTTTTGTATCATAAATTTGAAAAAAATATCTCATTATGTATATAAATTGACTATTATATATTTAAAAAATTCACTAATTTTAAATTTGAACCAAAATTAAAATTAAGAATAGCTATTCTATTTCTTTTTATAGATTGTCAAAAGTTCAGGAATTAATTAATATTTTCTTTTTATATGTTATTACCACGTTAGTCGCGAGTATATATTTATTTTATGTAAAGCTTAATCTGTGTTTTATCCTAAATGCTTGGAAAACAAGTGTTTCTCAAAAGGCAGCACAACCATTGCATATTCTTTTCAAAACATCTTATTATTTCTTTAAACTCAGTAACAGTAATTAAATAAAAATATGTTTAAACTCAGTAACAGTAATTAAATAAAAATATGTTTATTGAGTTTTTTTCTCTACATATGTTATTTCTATTTAATTCTTATATAAAAATTCTTCTTTGCTGATAAAAAAAAAACAGTAATTTGCCAAAAGAATACAGATTACAATGGAAAAAGAATACAAGCAACCTTCTCTGCAGTACATAGCACCCAGAAAATTATTGATTTACCCAAAAAATATCCCAAATTAATAAGCAAAAACCCACACCATTAATTAGGAAAAGATAGAAACTGAAAGAAATCATGGACTACTATAATTTAATTAAGGGCACTTGAATCCTTTTGGAACCTTCTTCCCACAGTTGTTGAGGTACAAGCTCAAGTCAAGTGGAACATTTAGGTTTAGGCCCAAAACGTTAGCTTTAATGGCCGTGCAAAGGCAAGCAGCAGCTTCAAGAGCAACAAGATTACCAAGAAGGCTACAGCAAGGTTGATTTGGTGGGATTTGAATAATCCCCAACACATTGGCACATACCTTCAGTTTTAAGGCATCAATAGGGCAAGTGCCAGTGGCAGCGCTTACCATACTGAAGAAGAGAAGGTTAAGGGAAAGAAGTAAGGCAATGGAAGCTGTAGCTCTTGAAGCCATTTTGAGAAAAAATAACAATTTTTATTTTATTTTTTTGAGATATAGAGAAGCTTTTTGTTTTGTTTTGAGGGTGATGAGAAATGTTGAAGGGGCTTAAGGGTTTTTATAGAGGGAGATTAAGACTAGGTAATTAAGAATTAAGCAAATCAAGGATGTGATGATCCATGTGGGCATTATTGAGCAAAATAGCTGGCGTTTGGAGGGACAGTGAAGAATATAATCCATCTGGATGCATGTTGATTAATCGTGTAGCCACTGAATTGAATATATAATCCCATATGACCTTCAAATTGAGGATTAGTTTTTAATTATTATTATTAGTTGCTCGTGGAATTAGTGTTTATTTTTTAATTATTATTAATTAACCGAAACTAACATTTTCATTTTCATTTTTCGTATATATGAGAGCTTCTATGGTGGTGGTTAATGGAGTAATCCATATAGAACTTTTCACACATATACCTCCAACGACATATTTTCAACGACCAATTGCGTAGAAGTATTAAAAACCAATTTTTGAACCAGGACCTCTCTTTCAAAACATCGTCACGCATAAGTAATAATTAATTAATTAATTAATTATACATTGGAGATTTTACATCCTTGACAAATATAATGATATGAATATTGACTTTGGTTTTCAGTTTTCAATTGATTATTGAGCTAGTGCATAAATTTACCATATATTTTCGATAATTATTTTTATAGCCTATTAAATTTTACAGGATTCATTTACATTTTTATATTTGAATAATAATAACACTCCTCCCCAAAATGAAATAATTTTGCAGAGAGTCAATCATAACTCTATGCTTTCATGTTTCATTTCGGTGAGAGGCATAATTATTATTGAAATATGAAAAAATTAATCAAAATTCAGGGTCAAATTTCTGTATTAAGCTAACGATTATTTTCATTCAAAATTTTCTCCACTGTTCACTAAGCTATGTTATGGCATCAAAACTCAATGAAAATGTTATGGTTGTATTATTACTCTATCAGGGATGGAGTTAGGAATTAAAATTAAGGATAAAAAAATTTTATGAGTTAAAGAGGGTGAAATTGAAAGAAATTATTATTTTAAAGGGTAAAATAAAAAATTTCAATATTTATGGAGGATTCTTTTAAAAAAATTTAGGGGGGTTGAGGGCCACCGCTGGCCCCCTAAGGACCTAGCTCCGTCAATGACTCCATTGATTTCTTTCATTCAAAAAAAAAAAAAGAAGCAAACCCATATTTGAGGCTGCCAATCGTAAGGCCAATAACAGTTCTAGCCACTTTGATATTGCACTGTTAGGCTTAGATAAAGGCCCTGGTGGGGTAAAGTTAATATTGGAGAAATATATTATTAGTAACATTCAAACTCTAACATTAATACTAATCTCTTGTTTGGTTTCAGAAATGGAATAGTTTATTTTAAGAAATGAAATACTTATTCTCACTCCTTAAAAAACTTTTGTTTTTATAAATTTTTTAAAAAATATCTATTTTTTGTAGACTATTTTTTTTCTTATATATAATAGTTATTTAACATTTAAATTTGAACTAAAATCAAGAGTATCTATTCATGGAAATAACTATTATATTTTATATTTCTTTTCGGTTCTGCATGCCATTGATGAATGGCACGAAAATTAAACAACTTCATTTTACTTTGAATTAGTAGTTAATAGTAAATAGTTTAACAATATAGTGTATCAACACTTTGAATTAATAATATTTATTAAATTGATAATAACTTCTATAGTACGGAGAAATCGATTTGAGACCGCACATTTTCTAATTTTTTATAAGATGTGGAAAGATTAAATAAACCACAACTAATTAACTTTTTTTTATCTATTATTATCACATTAGTCCGTGATATATTTAATATATGCAGTACTAAGTAGTGCTCAGTGTTTTATTTAAATGTTTGAAAGCATAAAAAAAAAACATAACTGTTTGCATGAATTTGCGCAATTGGTACCTTTCAAAAAAAAGAATTTGCGTAATTGTTTGTCGGTAGGCAACACAACACATTGCTAGTAATATTTTCAAAACATCTTATTATTACTTCAAATTCAGTAAAAGTAATAACAATAATCTGCCAAAAGAATACATATTACAATAAAGAATAAGGCAATAGAAACCTCTTTCTACAATGAGCACATAGCACCCATAAATTATTGATTTTCCCAAAAGATATTCCCAAACTAATAAGCAAAAACACACACCAGAGAAGATAGAAACTGAAAGAAATAATGGAGTACTATAATTTAAGGGCACTGGAATCCTTTTGGAACCTTATTCCCACAGTTGTTGAGGTACAAGCTCAAACATAATTTAAGGGGACTGGAATCCTTTTTGGAACCTTATACAAGTTGTTTGAGGTACAAGCTGTTCAGTGAACATTTAGGTTTAAAGCCCCCAGACATTAGCTTAATGGCAAGTGCATGAGGCAAGCAGCAGCTTCAGAGCAACAAGATTACCAAGAAGGCTACAGCAAGGTTTGATTTTGGAGGTATTTGAATAATCCCAACACATTGGACAATACTTCGTTTTAGGGCATCAATAGGACTTTCGATTCAAGTTTGTCGCGCTTACATAATTGAAAAGAGAAGTTAAGGGAAAGAAGAAGGCAATGGAAGCTAACCTTCTTGAAGCATCCTTGGAATTTCTTGGAATTTTTTTTTTTTTTTTTTCTGAAGATATTAATGAGCTATTGTTTTGTTTTTGGGGTGATGAGAAACGGTGAAGGGGTTAAAGGGTTTTTATAGTGGGAGATTAAGAGTAAGTTGATATTAAACAAATCCCACGTGGACATTATTGAGCAAAATAGCTGGCATATACAGTGAATAATATAAATGATGGTTCTTTTTTTATTAAAATTTTCAATAACTAATCTATCACGGGTGCACGTTGATTAAGTTTGTAGCCTATGGAGGCACGCAATAATTTTAATTATATAGTTTTTAATTATTATTATTATTAGTAGCTTGTGGAATTATTAGTGATAATTATTTTATTACATAATCCTTTCTTCGCTATACGTTTTTACATTTTATTTATAGAATGGAAAGTAGCATTTTCAATTCCATAATTCTTTTCATGTTCTTGAAACTTTTTTTTTTCATAATAGTTAATAGAGTTTAACTTTAAGATTTCTTATTTCTCCGAACTTTTTTTATTTAAGTTAAAGATGATAAATTTAAAATAATCGAATAAACCAATTAATTATGCATAATTAGATAATTAGTTTCCTCTCAATTTTTTCAAATAAAGTGTATAATGTTTAATTTTCTTATCTATTATTATTATTATTATGAGATTTTCCTTCATCAATTTAATAAAAGTTATAAAAACAGAAGACTATATTTTACTATGTAACTTATCCCATTTAATTTTTCCGTGGAGAGAAAAAAACTATGCAAGAATTAAAGGTATAATTTATTAAAAATCGAAGGTGGAAGTGTGAATTTTAAAGGTTTGCAAAAAAGAATTTTGCAAGTAAAAAAAATATTAAAAATGAATATTCAGTATTGCACCACTCTTAGCTTAATAAATGTGGGCTAGCCCATGATCTTCCAAAATACATGGGAAGATACAATTGAAAATAAAAAAAGAACTTCCTTCTGTAAGAAAATTCTACAAGCATATTATATTATATAATACCATGTTTATTTAAATCATATATCATGTATTATTTTAAAATCCTTATTAGACTAATTCAAAATTTAACAGCTAAATCTTCATGAGATTTGTCATCAATTAAAATAATATTTGATATTAATGAATGGTTAATTGTTTATTATTATACATTAAGGATGATAATCTCAGCGTTTGTCTGAAATAGTTTTGTGAATTGTAAGTGAGCCTTGCAGTGTGATTGGGTTATGAGTTGTGGGATTATGAGCCCTATTTTGATAGAGATAAAAATAAATTAATTAAATTCTAAAGACTCTGAATTGTAATTGTGCTTAGCTAGTAATTGTAATTAGAGGCTAAATATTATAAATATTGATATAATAATACGATTGGTTTATCTAGACATAATCTATGGATCTACTTATGGACTATACTAATTAAAAATGTATTTTTATTACAATGAATTCATTTATAGCCATGCAGTGAAAGAAAAAAGGATAAAATATGAATAATTTTTAAAAAATTTTATTTTAATTAGTTTGATCCATGAGTGGGAGCATAGATCCTGTTTAGGCAAATCTAATATGTCATATTGGAGAGGTATTGAAGATTAAAATTAGATATTTCCCTTTTTATCTTTCTTCTTCTCAATTTCTCTCAATTTCTATTTCTCTTATTTTCTTTCTTTTTCTAATTTAATATGTTAGCAACACAGAAAAATCTTACTTCTTTTCCCTCTTTTTCTTGATGTAAAAAATCGCTTACATAGAATATAAATCATGCTATTGGGTTTGGACTATATACAACTCGAGTATGGTAGGATCATTGAATGAAAAAAAAATTCGAACCATTCCATCTAAATTAATGTTGCTATCCTACTTAAAAATTTAGAAAAATGAAAAGTCAAAAATCATCAATCACCGATATTTTTCAACTCATCGTTAGCTCGATTGTCGATCAGGAAAAATTTAATTTAAAATTCCAAGATTGTCCGTTAGAATTGATAATTTACACAAATGATAATTATTGAACATAATCTACGCAGGCAAAGTTACATGTAAATTCGTTTTCAGGAGGAAAATGTTAATGCAACACAAAAATAAAAATGATTCAACTGGTGCAGCATCCATACAGTGTTTCACAGAGGGAAAAAAATTGTTATAATTTTCTGTAAAGATTACATTGTTTTAATATACAAACTGCTTCTAACTATCCACTAATTACGGCTCTAATTACTCCTAAAGTTCCACCTAACATGATTTCTTTTACTGTGTGTACAGGTTAGTGGACAGAGAAATGATGAACTATGATTCTGATCCCTACTTTTTCTCTTCATCCGACACTCCCCCTCAAGTTGAGTAGTGGGATCTCCAATACTTAACTTGTTTAATACGTTATGAAAGGAATTTCCATTAACTGCTTTTGTCAAAATATCTGCCAACTGATCTTCAGATCGAACAAACGGCAATTCCACAATTCCTGCTTCTAGTTTTTCTTTGATGAAGTGTCTATCAATTTCAACATGCTTGGTCCTATCATGTTGAACAGGATTTTCTGAAATGCTGATTGCAGCTCTATTATCACACATAATTTTACTTAGATGAGAGGAAAACCAATCTCACTTAACAATTTCCTATAGCAAAGAATTTCACTAGACCAGGACTTATTCCTCGAGAACTCTGCTCTGCACTAGACAGATGCTAACCTTTCTGTATTCTTCTTCTTACTATCTCCATGTGACTAAGTTTCCGCCAAAGATGAAGTAGCTCTGAAGTAGATCTGCGATCAACATGACTACCTGCCCAATTCTGCATCAGTATACTTGTATTCCAAAGTGCCCTTCGTTAAACCGTAATTCCTTGCTGAATAGACGTCGCCCTTTAAGTACTTGAAATCGATTCTTAAACTGCATTCATATATAGTTTGAGGTCTTGCATTGACGACTTACTACTCTCCAACTGCATGCTATGTTGGGTCGAGTGTGTAGAAAGAAATTATTTTCCAACTAGTGTCTGATATTTTTCTTTTATCGAACGATTTCTGCTCTTCTACTATTGAAGTCTGAATTTGTTGGCAATAGGCGTGTCAGCTGGCCATTGCAGTCTAACCATTCTATTATTCCTGCCAAGAAATCCCAGAGTATAACATATAAAAATTCCACTTGTTGATCTCAATACTTCAATTCCAAGGAAGTACTTCAGTGCTCCTAAGTCTTTCATTTCGAATTCAGTGAATAAGTTCCTTCTCAGCTTTGACATTTCTTCATCATCATTTCCTGTAATAATCATATCATCAACGTAGATAATTAAACAAGTAATAAGATTACCCCTTTGCTTAAGGAATAATGTATGATCTGAATTACTTTGTTTAAAATCATATTTCTTCATTACAATTGTAAATCGTCCAAACCAAGCTTCTTGGAGACTGTTTAAGACCATAAAGTGACTTCTTCAAACGACAGACTTCTCCAGTTTTAAATCCATTTGTGAACCCTGGTGGTGCTTCCATATAAACTTCTTCTCTTAGATCTCCGTGCAAAAAGGCATTTTTTACATCGAATTGATGGAGTGGCCATCCTTTATTAGCTGCTATCGAGAATAATACTCTGATCGTATCAATTTTAGCTACTGGAGAGAAGGTTTCTGAATAGTCTATACCATATGTCTGTGTATATCCTTTTGCTACTAACCGAGCTTTATACCTTTCAACAGTCCCATCCAGTTTGTGTTTGATCGTGAAGACCCAACGACAACCCACTGATTTCTTTCCATCTGGTAATTGACATTTTTCCCATGTGTCATTTTTAATTAGAGCATCCATCTCCGTCTTCATTGCCTGATTTCAATTTTTTGATTTTAAGGCAAGCTCTATAGTATGAGGAACTTCTTCTGAATATAGAGCTATAGTGAAGGCTCTGGCCCTTTCTGATAAGCTCCCCCTGACTAAGCTCCTGACAAATTTGTCATGGATATTTGTTCCTCCGTGCTTCATTTTTCCTGGATGAATATATTTTAGGTGGAACTCCTCTGTTACTTCTGGGGTGGAATAGGACATACCTTTTCCAACATTCTCTTCCTGTTCTCACAGAGGTTCCACAAACTATATCACAGTTAGGCAGTTTTAATAAAGGAGTTTGGAGATCAGAATTCTTACCTCAGGTATAGGAAGGAAGAGATGTGTTCAGTGGTATTGAGTTCGTAGACTGTATAGATGCTAGATGGCGGTGTACTGTTCTGGTCTGATGGAACGTATGTCCTGAAATTGTCCTGATTGGACAACTCAGTGTGGTCTTTAAGTTATCTCTCCCTGACCACTTGGGAATGGGTATTTTATACTGTAATACTCAGTTTCAAGGAAGTCACAATTTATGGTAGTAAATACTCGACGGGTTTTTGGATCGTAACATCTATAACCCTTCTGATTGACCCCATATCCCACAAACACACATTTAATAGCACAAGGATCAAATTTTGTTCGGTCAACTTTGGGTATATGAACAAAAACAGAACACCCAAATATTCGAGGTTGAATTGTAAGAGTTGAGGGAATTGAGGCAAATTGAGCAAGCATTTGTATTGGTGTCTGAAGTTTTAAAACTTTAGTGGGAAGCCTGTTTAAAAGATAGACTGCTGTGGCAATAGCTTCAGGCCAAAAAAATCTAGGGACACCAGACTCAATTAACATGGCACGAGTCATTTCAAGAAGAATGCGATTTTTCCTTTCTGCCACACCATTTTGTTCGGGTGTGTGAGGACAAGTTGTTTGATGGACAAGTCCTTTTTGGTGAGAAAATTGCTTCATGGATTCTGCTTCATGGATTCATTTTATGTTACCCAGTATCAGATGTAAAATCTTAATTGATTGATTGACTGAGTTTTGGATCATACGTATAAACAGAATAAATTTATCAACACTCAATTATTTTTTCAAAAAATACCCATGTCATACGAGGGAGTCATCAACAAGAGTAAAATATCTAAAACCTTGACTCTCCTAAGACAGGAGCTGGACGCCACACATCAGAATGAACCAAAGAAAAAGGAGACACTCCATATGGGTATTACTCGTTTAAAAAGTATAGGTCTATGCTTTTGCCAAAAACAATACGTCCACACTTAAAACATATTATTTAACTTAAATATATTTTGGCACAGACTTAAATAACCTATGGATGGATGTCCCAGTCGTCGGTGCCAAAGCCAAGCTTCCCGTTCAGTAGTTCCGTGAGCCAGCATTACAGTACCGTGTTGGGCCACTTCATCCACATAATACAATCCATGATGCTCAGTGCCACGTCCAATAATCTTCCCGCTCCTGAGGTGAACTTCCGAAATAGCCTCCGGTCCGGCCGGACTGTTTGCAGTCCGAGAAAATAGGCTTTCTGAGCCTCAAAATTTGGGTATTCACAGGAACATAAAGACAATTTGATATTTTTAATGTCGGTGAAATTTCAACAGATCCTGCTCCTTCTACGGTTGCAGTGCTTCCATTTGCAGTTTGGACATGTGTTCTTTTTGGTTTTGATGGTGCTATTATGTCAGCCACCTCAAAAGTCATTGTATCAATAGCACAACAGTCAAAAATCCAGCGATTATCTTTTCTTGTCTGTTTATTATTATTTTCAAAAGATTTGGGGCATTTCTGTAATAACTCATATTTTCTTTGGTTAGAAAATAAAGGAAATAAAAATTGGGGTTTTATGTTAAATGACCCCATTCTGCCCTTTCATTTTGTGCTGCCACCATCCCCATCGCTCCTCTCTCACTCTGACCTCCTCTGCTGTTGCCACCGCTGCTGGCAGCCTCTCAGTTACCCACGGCGGCGGCTGCTTTGCTGGTCTTTGTGCCCTTGTTTCGGTGATTCTCGTTCCACCATTCTGGATACCCAATTAATTCGAAGCATTGATCTTTTGTGTGTTTGCTCATCCCACAATGAGAGCACTTGAGTCTCGATTTATCTGGACGGGATGATGAACCATCGTTTCTTGGTTCTGACCGCCGCTGGCCACGCGCGACGAGTCCTACACCAGTTGCTTCGCTTGCTTCTTTCTTCCCGATGATGACAAATCCGTCGCCTATGCCCTGTGATGGCGATTCTCTGTTAGCTGGTCCCATGATGTTCAATCGGGCGGCTTCTTTCCGAGCAGAGGCGTAGGCGGCTTCAGCTGAGGGAAGATGCTCCGATCTGAGGATTTCCCTTTTGATCTGATCGTACAAGTGATCTATTCCATTTAAGAATTGAAATAGTTTTTGTTCTTTTGTTCTTGTTTGACTTTATTGTATGTCGCGATATCTGTTGAGCATGTCCATCGGATTAGGCTCCTTGCGATCGATCTCCCCCCATAATTCCTTCTCCCCCCATATTCCTTGCATGGTGAGCCAGAATTCTTCTAGTGTTGATGATCCCTGTTTCATGCTGTTTGCTCTGGTATGTAGATCAAATATCTGTAATTTATCTTTCCCACTGCTATATGTGATAACAAGAGCATTCCACAAATCTTTAGCTTTGGAATACTCTGTTAAGTTGTTTGCTAGTTGTGGTTCCATGTTCTGAATTAACCATGAGAACACAATCAAATCTTCTTGTTCCCACTTTTCAAAAACTGGATCTCCAGCGGATGGAGGTGTAGCAGCTTCAGTGATGTGGTTTAATAATTTTTTTGATTTCCCCAATAGCTACTTTCATCATACGTGACCATATTGCATAATTTTGGCTATTTAATTTGACATTGATGGTGAGGTTATCTGAAATGGTTTGTTTCTGGTTTTGGGTATTAATCAGGTTTGCAATTCTTGTCAGGTCTTCGTCGTTGAGACCCGAGGTATGAACACTATCATCAGACATGATGATATTTGATTATTTCAGGTAAGTCAGAAGGTAGGTGATGAGCTAAATGTGTTCAGTCAGTTCTGACTGAAAAACACCAGCTCTGATACCATGTTTCACAGAGGGAAAAATTGTTCTTCTTTTTCTGTAAAGATTACATTGTTTTAATATAATTTTCTGTAAAGATTACATTGTTTTAATATACAAACTGCTTCTAACTATCCACTAATTACGGCTCTAATTACTCCTAAAGTTCCACCTAACATGATTTTTACTTTTATTGTGTGTACAGGTTAGTGGACAGGGAAATGATGAACTATGATTCTGATCCCTACTTTTTCTCTTCATCCGACATACAGAACAGATCAAATGAAAGGAAAACTGAGTCTTATTGCCACATCTTACTTATTGTTCAATAATACAAATAAGGAGGAGGCATCCATAGAAGGCCTTCTCCATGCATGACAGTAACTAATAAATAGTAACATTGAAATTATTTATTTAGTATAAATATACCAAATTAATTAACTAATAAAATGGACTTAAGGACACTGGAGTCCTCCTGGAGCGTTCAGGCCGCAATTGTTGAGGTACAAGCTCAGGTCAAGAGGAATATTTAGGTTTAGGCCCAAAATATTAGCTTTAATGGCGGTGCAAAGGCAAACACCAGCTTCAAGAGCAACAAGATTACCAAGAAGGCTACAACAAGGTTCATTTGGTGGGATTTGAATAATCCCCAGCACATTGGCACATACCTTCAGTTGTAGGGCGTCAATAGGGCAAGTGGTAGCGCTCACCATACTGAAGAAAACAAGGTTAAGTGAAAGAAGCAAGGCAATGGAAGCTGTAGCTCTGGAAGCCATCTTGGAATTTTTTAAAAAAAAATATAAATAAGCTTTTTGTTTGGTTTTGAGGCTGATGAGAAATGGTGAAGTTATTTAAGGGTTTATATAGAGGGAGATTAAGATTAAACAAATCAAGAACGTAATCCATGTGGGCGGTATCGGCATGTGCAGTGAAGAACGAAATGAAGCTTCTTCTTCTTTTTTTTTTTTTTTTTCTTCTTCTTCTTCTTCAATAAAATCTTGAATCTTATAATCCACGTAAGGGTGCACGTTGATTAATTGTGTAGATGGAGATTGGGCACTGATTAATTACCCTTCCTATATATATATATATATATATATAATCACCACGTTCTCCACATCAAAATATTTTTGTATTTCCCTCAAAAAAAATAATTGTTTTGCATCCATTTTCTTTTTAAAAATAACAAGCTGGGTTTTGAGGACAGCAAGTTTGATGCCAAGAAAGTAGCAGCACTAAGAGGGTCGGATGCTTCTCTAATTTGGTGATGGTCAAGATGAACTATATAGAATATCTTACTCTAAACGTGTTTTATTATATGACCTGCTATCTTGTAGATGAGATCCTTCAATCTTGGCAATCCAAAGTGCAAAATATTTTAAATATCTCATGCGAATCAAAAGTTAAGAGTATAAAAATTCTACAAACTACCTAAATATAGATTTGAATAGAAAATAAATACAAACTTGCTTAAACAATATAAAAAATCTTTATTAGATTCTTTTATATTGAGAGTGAGAGAGTGAGAAGTCTTATGTTCAACTCTTTCAATTGTAAGAGGTTTTACCTTTTTAATAAATAAAGAGAATACTTTACAATACTATTCCAATCTACTACAACTCCTAGTAAATAAAAGAAAAAAAAAAAAGTTACTAATGGGCCTCAGTGTGGAAGGTCAGAGACAAGAGCCGCCCAATAAGTGTTTTGCGTTTGTTTTAGTGAGAGGATGAAGATCGATTGGTCTATCATTAGGTCTTAGATGTTTTAAGGAGAATTAAGCTTCTGGATGATGGGCCTATTTCTTAACCAGTCTTTGCAAATAAGAGATAAATTGTAATTGATGAATCAAAAAAGTTGTTTATTCCAATGCCATGAGACAGTTTACAATTTATTTATATGAGGCAGCACAAATTGACATGCCCTTTGAAAACCAACTAAGAAATATATGAAAAATATTAGTTGCCTCTAAGAATGCCATTCTTGTGATAAACTGAAGAACCTTCAAATTTGGGTGTTTTCTGAGTCTTGGTCATGGAGTGCGGAGAAGAATAAGTTGCTCCCGGAAGTATATTGTATACAACCAATGGACTTCTGACCACATAAGTCCCGTCTTTCCATATTATTGCACCTGAACTGATTGGTTGTTGGGAGATCTTTGGTCCATACACCTTAACTGTAAATGTTTTGGTCTCTCCAATGGCAGAGAATGACAGGACAGATGGCTCTACCGTAACACTGACAGAGTGTGGCACATACACGCTCACAATGTAGGTTGAATTTGGTTTGCCAACATTTGTAACTGTTCTTGTAAACACTCCCTGAATTGGTTGCCCATCTTCAATTGCAAGTGCGAAAGTTGGGTAGTTAAGATCCCAAGCTCTTCCAGGCTTTATGCTGTTGCAAACGCTACTGTTATCGCCTGTGATTAGTCTTAGAGTTGTAGTATTATAACCTTGTTTGCAGAGGAAGTTAATGTAATCTGCTTCAGTTGCATCATAAACTAGTCCAGGGTCTGTTGCTTCCAATGGATTGATGTGGCCAGATCCGTAAGCGAATTCCAAGTCTGGGTGCTTTCTTGCGTCCATGATATTAGCTATTCAATATGAAATGATATAAATTGATAAGTTTTCAAACAATCATAATTAGTTAAAGGCTTCTAATCGAGTTCATAATTATAGATATGTCTATTTTCTTTAAAGACTTCTCTTTATGACCTGTTGTCATGAGGGCAGATTTAACGGCAGCAGGAGACCAATCAGGATGAGCAGCCTTGACATAAGCAGCAGCAGCACTAGCGTGCGGGCAAGACATGGAAGTTCCTGAAATTATGTTGAAGTTTACACTCCTACTGTCGCCCCAGGAGATAGATGGTGGTGATACAGGAGACCAAGCAGCAAGAATGTCCACACCAGGGGCAGTCAGATCAGGCTGTGTATCGATCATCGGCCATGTAAAATGTCAACAAAATTCCTCCAACGAATATACTATTATTTGTGCTATATATTAATGTTCACCTTGAGAATATCAGGGCTGATAGGGTTGGGTCCTCTGGAAGAGAATGATACAACAGAAGGTGCCATCACATCCTTCCAAGTCTCACTAACCAAAATAGTTGCAAGTGGATACCTGGAAAAAAGAAAAGGTATGTATATGTTTAGTTTTGCTAAATTAGTGAAATTGATGAGAAATAGTGCATGAGATCAAATAAATAAAAGAACATATAATTTTACTCTGTGGATTTGATGTAATCCAAAATTTGTTGGCCAGCTTCTGTGGTGATTACTGTTGCGGGTAAAGCATAACTAAAGGCAAAATCTTTGCTATATTCAGAATCGGCCATAATAGCACCCACTCCATTAGCCAATAAAATACCAGAACCATCCCAAATTGTTTCGCAGAAAACAATCTTTCCTGATACAATGTAAGAATTCAAGGCACCAGTGAAACAATATCTTGCGATGTCAGGATCAGCCCCTGCAGAATAATTTGCTGCATCTCCTCCCCAAATCAATGGATATGTCCCGTCGAGCACAAAACTGTTAATGGAGAGCCCCTAATTTTTACATTTATGGAAGAATGAAATTATTTAATAAAAACTAAATAATAACAACTGAAAGAAATATCACTAATAAATATAAACTCACATTAAAGACTTGTCCATTGCCAAGAACAACTTGTGCAACAAATTTCCTATCGATGGTACTAGCAGCAACAGTCAAAGTCCAGGGAGCAAAATTGGAGACAGAATAAGGACCGGGACCGGAATTTCCAGCAGAATTTGATGTTAGTATGCCATATCTCATTGCATGGAAGGAACCAATAGCAATTGGGTCTTCCACATATGGGAAAGGCAAAGGAGCACCGAGAGATACTGATAAAATGTCAACACCATCAGCTATGGCATCATCAAATGCTGCAAGAATATCTGCAGTAGCACATCCAAATGACCAACAAACTTTGTAGACTGCAATTCTTGCAAATGGAACTCCACCTCTCGCTACTCCTTCAGCCAACCCAAAGTAGCTTGCCCCTTCGACCTTCCGACCTGCTGCAGTTGAAGCTGTATGCGTTCCATGACCTTCAGAATCTCTTGGAGATTTGAAGTCAGTTTCAAAATACCAATTCTCGCTGTTGTAGTACCTCGCTCCAATAATCTTGCTGCAATAGTTTTTTTTTATTTTTAATTATTTTCATCAATTTTAAAGCTGAGGTGAGATTTATGTGAGGAAAGCTCACTTGTTACAAGTGAAGTTGCCATTTCCTTGGCAAATTCCTTTCCATTTGGATGGTGCGGGACCCATTCCTGTATCGTTGAAGCTCTCAGATTCTGGCCATACTCCTGGATTTACATAGAAAAACTTGAAATTAGAATACTCCTGATCATGATATGAGAAAGTATAATTAATTTATTTTAAAACTTAAAAATAAAAAATAAAACCTGTGTCAAGAAAACCGATAATGACATTCCCTTGTTGAGCACCAGAAAGTTTGCTTTTGGAGAAACCCATGAAGTCCCATGACCTTGTTGTGTGGATCTTTAATATGTGATTTGGTATCACTGATATGACACCATCCATTTCTGCAACCAATTTTTCAATTGTCTTATATTTAGTTAGTTATAATATAAAAAATTAATTAACGTATGACAAGCTTAATTAATTGTATGCTTTGTCCTTAATTAAATACTTATTTAATAATAAACTCCAACCTGAGAGTCTTTCCACTTCTTCATCAGATAATCTAGCTGCAAATCCATTGAAACTCCTCCCATAACTATAGATTAATGACTCCTTGGCTGACGAAGTACTGCCAATGCAACAAAAACAATTAGTAACCAGTTTAAACTCACGTATATTTTTCATAAACTAAATATATATTAACCTTCCGAGTACACTTTCGAGCATGGAATGATGAGTGGATTGAGCAGCAAAATCTCCTTGAGGAAGGTTTCCCATGTATACAATGTGAACCTTCCTGTCATTGCCATGACACTGCATAAAAAATGCAGCTAGCAGTAAGAATGGGTAGAGAAGAGAAACCAGTTGCCCTGGCTTAGCCATCAAAACCAAATTTAATTTGCTTTAATTGATTAATTGATGGTTTGAAGTTGATTACATAATAATGGTATTTATATAACTAAATTTGTTACTTGTTATTAACGCACAATGATTTGCTTGATCGGCAGAAGCAGGCCGGGGCTTGTTGTGAACTTGTGATTAACAACATTAATTCCATCAAAATTATCGTTGTTTGTGGCCATTTATTGTCGTATTGCATTTGTTTCTTTTGCTTTTCCTTTTGAATTTTTTTAATCCGAATATTAATCATTTTCCTAAAGCATCTCTAATTCAACTTTTACATATCAAAGACATTTTGATGCCTACTTGAAAATCCCATTTTTTCCTCTTATATATGAAAAACATTTCAAGTTTTCGCAAGAGTAATTCTTTACCAGAATTTCATATTCTGATTATATGATGGAAATAATTTGTTTTTGCTCGATCATGTCAACTTTTCTATTACCTTTAACTTCTTCTCCTTTTATTTTATTAATATGATAAATTTCTTAATTAGAAGAAATTTGATACAATTAATTGATACAAGCATATTAGCAACAAACAAAAAGAAAAATTTTTTAGAGAATTTAAACCAAAGAAAGGAGAGAAAAACCCATAATAGCTACCATTGGAGGGATTAGGGGGGGATTAGTTTTGTCTAAAAGAAAAAAAATTGCTCTCTATGTAATAATACTTATTCTGAAAATATGATTAGTTTTTAACATGCTTTGTTTCCACAATTTCCCATTTAATTTTTTATTAAAAGCCACGTCTGATATTAATATAAGGATATAGAGAAAAAAAAATGTAAATAAAATTTACTATTCAAGCTATATTAATTACTTTTTTCCAATCTATTTGATAGTAGAAACAAGTTTGTCTTTGTGGAACAAATGGGATGATTAATATCATAAGCTTTCATTCTAAGGATTTTTTTTATAAAAAAAAGTCCCTAAACATGAAGGAATTCAATTATTGTTCAATGCATCTCCTTTGACAGCAAATTCAACCCTTAGTTAAGATGAAAATGATCAAATATGATACAGTAGAGAACTTTTTTTTTTTTTTTTTTAATATCGGGATGGTACAGTCTTAAGATTAACTAGATGTAGTGTCTGCTTCCAACCTAAAGTCCATGTAAATGCCCCCTCCATATAAACCGGGCAAATCTCCAATACACATGGAGTTATGATCCATGAGCATTGGCGCCCAAGTAGGGGTTAATTAACCACTTGGATGCCTCCAAAAAAAATTGAACTTAATACCATGGAAAGTTTGTCCAATGTGGTTTCTATTAGGCTAACCCTTTAGGAGTTAGTAGAGAACTTTGTACTAGGACATTTGAATCAACTTGATCATGTGCATGTAGCTAGGAACAAATTATTATTTACTAACTTGGTTGAAATTGAGTGCTGTGCATAGAAATTGGAAGCCAATGAAATAAGATGCTATATATGTAAAATATAATCTGGTCCTCGTATGCGTGCATGAATACGGAAAAGGAAAGAAAGAAAGAAAGGAAGGAAGAAAGAGCCCAACATGTAAAACATAATTAGAAAGGGATGGAAATTATTATTATTAGTAATAACTTATTGATAACAGATACGTTCATGGCTTATATTATGCATATATAGGCCAATAAACATATGTAATGTTATTACATATATATATATATATATATATACTTATGATACAGATACGTTCATGCTTAATTATGCATATATAGGCCAATAAAACATATGTAATGTTATTACATAGTTATATATATATATATATATATATATCCAGTCCGAAAAGCTATATATATCCATCCGAAAAGCACTGAAGGATTATTAAACATTTACTTGCTGACGTATCAAGATGGACGAGTTCTGCCGCAGGAGTAGAGCAAGTTAGTCAAAGTAGCATCAACAGAAACGTTGATGGAGAATTGACGATCCTTTATGGCAAGGCAAAGGCACATAGCAGCGTCAATGTCAGCAAGACCGGAAAGAAGGCCACAGTAATCAACACTTGCTTTCAGTTGTGTGTAATTGATGGGACAAGTGTCAGTTGCACTCACCATACCGAAGAAGAGGAGGTTAAGGCAGAGGAGAAGGGCACTGCAGTATTTTGCTGTGGATGCCATTTCGACCTCCTGACTTAACTGGTTTTAGCAATAAATATCTGATTATTAAGCTTAAGCTGCTAATAATGCGATTGCTGGTGGAGAAAGGAAAGGCTTCAAGGGTATTTATAGACGAATCAAGACTAGAGGCAAGCCTATCTAATATCAAATTAATTATATATAATAATACATTATATATTGGATTTAAATCAAATTAAACTTCCAGGTGCCAAACGTTGAAGATAGAAAATCAGAAATCTATCAGTGCGGCGTCAATGATGCTGCTGCTATCTATCTTTTAAATCTATCAGTGCGGCGTCAATGATGCTGCTGCCAAATAAACCATTCCAAATATTAATTTTCCAAATTTTTTATAAATTAATTATTATATCCATGTAATTTTAATATTTATTACAAAAAATGAACATCATAGTTTTACTCCTTGGGATCCTGTTATTCAATATACTTATTATTTTCTCACTTTATACGTTAATTATTACTTTTGGGGTGAAATTGAAAATGGACTAGTTAAAATGTATATAGGTTTTATTTTCATGACGGAAAATTTGGAACAGTTTTCAAGGATGAATTATGAATCCCTTTGTCCCGTACACGTCCCCATTTATTATAATATTAAAGGTAAAATTAGTCTATTGCCACAATATATATCTAACATCACATGTTAAGTGGATTATGTTGGGTTTACGATCCGTATATAATTTACTTAATAAAACGTGATATATACGTTGTGTTCATAATTTAAATTTTGTACCATGTTAGGATTTAAAATATTTAATATGATTAATAAATAAACGATGTGTTCATATTAACTCTAATCATGTCACTTTATGAAGTTAACGCGAAAACAATCCACCAACTTATTTTGACACTCCTTGATGGGATGATAATCAAGACGATGTTCTGTGAAAATGGAGGCTATAAAAAAAATTCTCCATATTAATGTTGAAATTTGCAGCATGAAATTCTCTTCCCCATGAATCATATTCCAAACTTGCTTTGACATATGACCTGCTATCGTAAACAAGATCCTTTTGTTTAGATGTCGTCTACTGCATAAAAATTTTCTGATCGGCAAAATAAAGTTTTATTTAATTATTTATAAAAGCAGGAAAAACTTAACACATCTAAGAATCTAATTTCCAGTTAGAAAGTCTCCCATTTACTTCCGATTAAATATTTATGGATATATATATAAAAGAAGAAGAAGTTAACCTTCTTGATAGCTAACTATTTATCAATTTAAATAAGGTTATCTCTTTAATGCTTAATAATACTATACATAATTGATTTCTCCTTACAAGAAGGGAATTTGTAATATATAAATATATATACCATGCATGCGGATCCACATCAAAATGTTTTTATATGCAATTTTTTAAAAAAAAAAATTTGATGTTTTCTGTTTCTGATATTACAAGATTGCCAGGTTCTATCTTCTGTATAACAAGTTGGTTTTTTGATGAGTGTTAAGGTCAGCAACTATAATGGAGAGATAGCAGCTGGACTGAGAGGTTTCGATGGCGATCCAGGTGCCGAGATCGATGCATGCTTCTCTAATTTGGTGATGGTCAAACTTGCATCATAAACTTCTCCTTAACAAGATATACATGCTTTATTATATAACCTGCTCTATTGCGGACAAGATCCTTCCATTATGTTCGGGACGGGGTAAAAAAAAAAAAAATTTAAACATGTGAAAAATAAGTCGGTTTTGTTTTTGGCACAGACTAATAATTTGTGTTGCTTTTTAATATTAATAAAAAAGAATTGAATTTGCTGATAAAAAAATAATTTTGCTTTGCTTTGATAATTAAAATTAATTGTTTTTTGTTATTTAAACGATTCTCATCTCTATCTTAAAATTTCTCTATTTGGAGTATTAATTTATAATCTGTTGAACAATATCCACACACTTAATATATATATTTCTTCACATACATACTCTTGCATCCTCATTCAAAAGTACATGATGCAAAACTCAATTTTATTGTAATTCTATTCAGAAGTAGAATGATTTCATCAAGAGAGTAATAAAGGTCTTATGGCCTGATTTCCATTTATAAATAAACAATACTAGCTAAATAAATTAATTATTCGGAGAGGGTTTCAAACTAATAAGAACTGTATAATAAAATGAAATAAGAAATTTACTAATCAAACTTTGTGTTACGATGATTTTGCTTAACCAAATACTGCAGATAAGCAATGAAAGTTAATGCTTTACTTTTGTTTTTCTTTTTCCCGAGAATTATCTCTTTATAATATATATATACAGAGATGCTTTTAACAGAGTATGGTCAAATGGTTATGGATTGCAAGTCTCTTCTGTTAGAAGGAGTAAGTTTGTCTGTTTCCTGGATTAGCTGCTATTTCACATGTTCGCCCGGAGGAATCTTCCTCCTATTCTGATTTTCAATCGTCAGGTTTTTTTCGCCTGGCATTTTTAATACGTTGGGTGTGAGAGCGGACCTGTTGATCGGATTTTAACTGCTAAATTTTTCCTGATTTTATTGATATAATTATTTTATTTCAAAAAAAAATTTGTTTGTCGTTATAAATAATGTGTATTACATTTTGTAACAATTTATTAGTTTGATAACTTTATTTAACATCAAATAAATTTTTTTTTTGGCAAAAGAAGAGCAGAACAAAAGCGAAAAACTATTTCAAAAAGCTAATACTATAAGCATCCGCCCAAAGAATCAATAACAAAAAACTAAGACTAGCTTCCCAAATGAATAAAGAAGAAGGGATAGTATGATCCCACTTGACCAAATGATCAGCCGCAAAATTAGCTTCATGAAATACATGATGGATAAAACACTCCCAATCACAACTTATCAAGCTCGGAATATTCAAAATAAGAATAGCCAACGAATGAGCAATAGAGAACCCTGAGCTCAACAGCCTAACAGCCTCCAAACAATCAGACTCAGCAACAACCAAATGATCAGCCGCAAAATTAGCTTCATGAAATACATGATGGATAAAACACTCCCAATCACAACTTATCAAGCTCGGAATATTCAAAATAAGAATAGCCAACGAATGAGCAATAGAGAACCCTGAGCTCAACAGCCTAACAGCCTCCAAACAATCAGACTCAGCAACAACCTTATGAAAACCACTGTACCAAGCAAGAATTTCTGTCCAAATAGAGGACAATTCACCAACTAAAATAGTAGAGTGACCAATATTAAAAGAATAGCCTCCAAGCGACCTTCTCCAGCAATCACAGAATACACCACCACCACAAGTCAACCCTGGATTAGTAAGACTATTACCATCACAATTTAACTTCACCCAACCCTCCTGAGGCTTAACCCAAGCCATACAAAACTGCCTACAAACTTTAGCCGAAGCAACAACGGGAGTAGAAGAATTCACAATATCCAAAGCTACTTCAAAAACACGACGATTTAAAACAGAAAGGCAACAAGTTCATTCTGAAAAACATACAAATTCCTTGCTTTTCAAACCCACCAAATAGCAGCTAAAAACTAATGATATCAAGAGATACCAAAGAGACCAGGCATGTGTAAGGATAAATTTAAACACAACCATAACACAACATCGTCCACCCCAAAAAGATTAGGAGGCAAACTTCACTGCTGCCACCATGCCCGCACCACAACACAATCACGAAAAAGATGTAACAGAGATTCCTCCTCCATAGAACATAAACTACATAGACTAGAAAGAGTCGTACGTCTCTGAAACCGAAAAGAATTAATCGGCAAACGGCTATACAGTATCAGCCAAAGGAAATGTCTCAATTTAGGTGAACCATCAATTGACCAAATACATGAGAAAGAAACAAAATCAATACCAACATGCACCTCCTCCAATAATAAAGATAAATAGGCTGCTTTAACAGAAAACTCATCATTAGAAGAAAAATTTCACAAAATAAAATCATGAACAGAAGCAACCAAAGGAAGAGAAACTACATAAATTAAGCACTTAATATCATCAAAAAGACAGATACGTAACATAGAAAGATTCTAAGAACTATCAAATAAAGTTTGATCACAAAAATTTGCTAGTAATCAAATATTATTATTTGTGATAAATAAATATTTTATTGTAGAAAATACTTTGTTAATAATTAGTTAAACGATAAATTCACTTGTCCTTCATATTATAAAGAAATAGAATTTTGTCAAATAAAATTTATTGAAACAAATTTATTACAACTAACTTGGTGGCAAATCAAATTTGTCATGTGAGTACTATATTGTGATAAAATAAATACTTAGTAAATGGCTCGAAATTTAAATATGATACGAAACACAACATATGTAAAACGAACCAAATCAATATGTAGATTTCAAAATTCAATAATTTAAATACTATATGAAACGCAACATATGTAACACGAACCAAATCAATATGTGGATTTCAAAATTCAATTTTATGAATGTATAAGCACTAAGGCTCTGTATTTATGTTTCCTTTGGGCCTAAATTATTACAGTTAGTTGGGCCTAAATTTTATGATTGAGAAAGTAAAATCTCTATACACCATATAAATAAATAAAATCTAGTAACTTAACTTGATTTTAAACTTTAAAATTATTTACTCATAACATATATTTCCATCAATTTTTTTTTAGAAAAATATTCCTCGGAAAATCAATAGACTTAATTAATATTGTGGTTTATGCAGCAGGAAATAGTATCATCTTAGCTTACTAAATTTACAAAAATTCTTATGATTGAGACAATTCAAATTTTAGATCTCCTACTTTCCATATTTACGAGAAAAATAAATCATATCTGCTTCGTCGAATATCCAGTTTGACCCTCACCATGATTTAGTTCATCACTTTCGAGTGCAACTTTAACGTTTCAGCTAGGATGCAAATGAGATCAAACATGATAATTTTCTAAATTTTTATTTTTTAATAAAGAGAATTGGGTTTAATCACGCATTCAAGGATAAAAGATTTGTATACAGTAGAGAACTAATTTGTGCTCAAATCGTTTGAATCAACTCAA